TGCATCATCCGTGGATCTATTGGGGCATCCTAGGCCTATGTTGTTGTATTGGTGGAGTTATGGGCCAATTTGCATATATTCACTTTTATTCCTCTAAGTACACGTGTGGAAGTGCATGAAAATCCTTTTAGAAAATGTTATCCCAATTTCACAAATTGGGCCCATTATGTATAGAAATACCCATTTGCATTCAATGTATAGTTCAACATAAATAACATATTGCTGCAGTCCCCTGTCAAGTGGCAACATCATGGTTATTATACACAGGGTTTATGCTTCCTATAGGGAGATGAATCTGATTCTATCCCATGCCTAAAACATTTCCCTATGAAGAGATGAGCAGCCTTCAATGAGACTGATGTAGACAGGCTGTGCTTGCCTACAGTATGTGTATGCAGGTCCTGTTGTTTATAATGTGAATACGACTCCTGCTCTTATTGATTCTGTCCAAGAGATGACTCCTCTGGGTTTATCTGATGTTTATGCAGGTGTATGAGGATGCTTGCTAAATGGAAAAGAGACAACAAATCGATATCCAAGGTGAGGGGAGGGGGATACGATCCTGTGAGCTCGGGGTTTGTTGTTCTGTCTTTCCCTCTTTCCTTTGATGCACTTTATAGACCAACCGAGTAGGACTGTGAGAGATTTCTCCTCAGATTTATAGTACATCATACTCCTGCTGAGTTCGGTATAATTGTAGACAGTAGACCTCTGTTCATACCGCATCTCTGTCTTTCTTTCAGTAACACGGGAGATAGGCCTGCAAATCACTTCAGATGGAGTGTTCCAAGCGGTGTTAAACTACTCTCCTATATTCTCATCACAAATCTGATAGAGAGTAGCCAGACGTGTGGTGGACTATCCACTGTCCAAGTAAATAACTCTAATAAGTAGCACTACTTTTCATCAACTCTATTTCCTTCTCCAGGAGTGTCCAATTCCACAATGAGGATTAGACATGAATGAGATATAGTGAAGGTAATTGCTCATCAGACTGAGCTAGATAAGATGGCTAGATTCACAGTAGTATAATCAGTTTGGTTTCATCAAACACCCTGCTGCATAAATTAATGGATCACTCAGATCCACTCATCACCATCACACCATCATTAAGGATATCACCATTCACTCCTCAAGGTCACAAATACAGACATGTTTTAACAGTTTGTTGCTAAACATTCAACAGTTGTCTTCATTCTCAGTGGATGTCATGTAATTTAACCCACTTCAGCTACATACAATTGATGTACTTACACTGAGTGTACAAAACACTCTTTCCATGGCATAGACTTACCAGATGAATCCAGGTGAACGCTATGATCCCTTATTGATGTCACTTGTTAAATCCACTTCAATTAGTGTAGATGAAGGGGAGGAGACAGGTTAAATAAGGATTTTTAAGCCTTGAGACAACTGAGACATGGATTGTGTGCCATTCAGAAGGTGAATGGGCAAGACAAACGATTTAAATGCCTTTGAACGGGGAATGGTAGTAGGTGCCAGGTGCACCGGTTTGAGTGCTGTTGGGTTTTTCACACTCAACAGTTTCCTGTGTGTATCCAGAATTGCTCACCACCCAAAGGACATTCTGCCAACTTGACACAACTCTGGGAAGCATTGGAGTCAACATGGGCCAGAATCCCTGTGGAATGCTTTCGACACCTTGTAGAATCCATGCCCCGCCGAATTTAGGCTGTTCTGTGGGAAAAAGGGGGTGCAACTCAATATTGAGAAGGTGTTCCTAATGTTTTATACACTCAGTGTACATCTGCAATGTCAGAAATATAGTAATGTTTTGACAGTTTGCAGTGGTTAAACACTCAGAAACCATTTTCTTTCCTCTTAAAGTAGGTACATGTAATGCAACCCACTTCACCAACATACAATCTAATCGACAGGTAACTTAATCCTCAAGGTAAACACAAAATATTGTCATGTTTGACAGTTTTGTAGCTAAACATTCAACAGTTGGTTTCTCAAGGTGTGACATGAAGACCTCACCACCAATATACAATTGACAGGTAATCAAATCCTCAAGGGCAAAAATATACTAAATGTATTAATAAAGTATTGACAGTTCTCTAAAGCATTCAACTGTTGTCAACAGACGCTCTCAGTGCATGTAATTTAAACCACATCACAAACATACTGTTGGGGGTGGCAGCATAATGCTGTGGGGATGTTTTCAGCGGCAGGGACTGGGAGACTAGTCAGGATCGAGAGAAAGATGAACGGAGCAAAGTACAGAGAGATCCTTGATGAAAACCTGCTCCAGAGCGCTCAGGACCTCAGACTGGGGTGAAGGTTCATCTTCCAACAGTACAACGACCCTTAGCACACAGCCAAGATAACGCAGGAGTGGCTTCGGGACAAATCTCTGAATGTCCTTGAGTGGCCCAGCCAGAGCCCGGACTTGAACCCAATCGAACATCTCTGGAGAGACCTGGAAATAGCTGTGCAGCTCCCCATCCAACCTGACAGAGCTTGAGAGGATCTGCAGAAAAGAATGGGAGAAACTCCACAAATACAGGTGTGCCAAGCTTGTAGCGTCATACCCAAGAAGACTCGAGGCAGTAATCGCTGCCAAAGCTGCTTCAACAAAGTACTGAGTAAAGGGTCTCAATACTTATGTAAATGTAATATTTCTGTTTTTTTATTTTAATACATTTGCAAAAATTTCTAAAAACCTGTTTTTGCTTTGTTATTATGGAGTATTATGTGTAGTTTGATGAGGGAAAAATACAATTTAATCCATTTTAGAATAAGGCTGTAACGTAACAAAATGTGGAAAAAGTCAAAGGGTCTGAATACTTTCCGAATACACTGTATAATTAGTGTACACATACTCAGGGAGACTCAAAACCTGGTACGAATTTGAGATCATATCAGAGCTACGCCACATCAAAGAGCAGCACTTCAGCTGCTCAGATTTATGTTGATGCCAGGGGATGGAGCTGGGAGCAGCACTCTGGACAAAGTGCAATCAGTCAGTCTGTCCTCCCTCGCCATCATACGGTTGCCATGGTGACAGAGCAGGTGAAACACTGAGGGGTGCAGATGATCGCCATTGTGTTGTACAACTCTCAGGGACTGAATTACCATTTAGTGTGCTGTGTGGCGGGCGTTGATGGCGTGTTCATCGTCGGAGGTAATTCATGCACTTGGCCTTCACACACACACACCCTGGTAACCCTCTTGTCCTCTTAGCCTGTTCCATACCACTGATAAGATGTCTCAGCTGTTGATTGACTTGTTAGGTCAGGGACCACGCAAACCCTGGAAATATGACAGGTATGTCACTTAAAGCTAGAATCCTTAGTTGCTACATCCATTTTTGGACTTATAAATGAATGATATATACCCATTGATTCTTGATAAATATAACTTATAAATGCCTCATGAGCTTAGTTCAACTGTCTTACCCCATCAGAACCCAAAATATACACTTTTTTTAAGCCAATGTTTGTAAACAACGTAAATGTAATCAAACACTGTATATCCTCAAAAACTATAATTTTGATATTGTCGATGGTTTGTCCTTGCATCCTTAGCTCTGTCTGTGAATTTGAGAGTAGTTACATTTCTCCAAAACAGAGACTGCTTCGTTATTGTTTCAACTGTGGATTCTAGCTTTAAATCCCTTCATGTGAGGTATTGTTCCAACAGGTGTCTTGCTGGAAAAAATGCCACATGCTCATCTTACCACTTGCATGGGGTAACATTTTATGTGAAATAACTTGCGATGTTGTATCATGTTGAAGTCTGATGTTAGCGCCATTATCAAGCAGAGATCTGAGAAACCCAAATATTTATTTTGAAATGGAAATAAGCCCCCTTTATTTTATATTGATTTACATTTTATATAAAAGTACTTACATTTAATACATTTCTTCAAAATACAAGCAGCCAAACAACATACAAATCAAATACAAAATTATAAAATGTGTTATATCTATCATCTTTCCTTTTCTGAAAGTAACAGAAAGTATTTTTATAATTCTCTAAAGTCACTTTGTAGCCGTAAAGTTGTGTTAAATCCTTTTCTGTGTTTAAATCATTTTGCCATAACGTAGATAGATGTTGGGACAAGAGACCTAAAAAAATATGGACGTCTATGTCTGTGTATATCTGTGACTATTCTCAGAACATTATTGTTAAGCTTCAATCATCTCTGTGATCCAAACATAATTTCTTAGATGGAGTATACATTTCAGACCCCTCAGTAAAATATCTTCCATTTGTAGCAGAGCAAATATATGTTTGAAATTATTACATGAACATGATGCTATAACACTGTAGAGTATTGAATTAGAAGGTAAACGGAAAAGGACTATCTTAAAACTAACCTTGGCCATTGCTGGATTGTATCCATCATGGCTGAATCAAACGATACAAACACAGACCGAAAACAAGCTTCACTGCTCATGTATGAAGCCATGAAATGATAACATGTTTTTGTGAAGAACAGTTTTTGTTCTGAGGAAAGTAATGACATTGGAAATCATAGCAATCATAACTTGACCAACCTCAAACTATTGTTTTTAAAAGATGAGATATTTGTTCAGAAAGGAAAAATCGAGACCTGCTTTAGTACTGTATACTGCACCAGAATAACAAGTTGTTGGTTCCACTTTAACAAGAGAAAGACATGTACAGGTACAGAAATAAGTAATGTATCGATCTTAACGTTTCTTTACAACAGAAGAGTTCTGGTGTTAATAAGGTATTTTGCAAGTCAGCAGCTTTACTTCAGTGTCATACAGTATATACTATATAGTGCTGTATAACAATTGTTCAAGAAACAAAGTAAACAACGGAAACTAAAAAAATGGAAATAAAAGTGTTCAGCACACAAATGAGGAGGTAATGCTGATGCTAAAAACCAACAAACCTAACCGTCAGGATCGGAGCCTGATAGGAAATAGAAAAATCTTATTTTCCTCTTGTTTTTATACATTTGTACACTGTCTTATAAAAGGAGTAGAAAGTGTAAAGTTAGGCTATGCAGCGGTTTCGCGAATTGTCCCCTCTAGTTTCTTTGGGAGTAGCTCTCTCCTCTCGTCTATGTTGATGACCGGTTTCCGACAGTTCTGTCCGTCAAGGTAGATCTTTGCATACACTGGGTTGGAGTAGTTAATGGGCTGCATTAAGGAAGTAAAAATGCTGTTACATATATGACAAAGACATATCACATCAGCACAGCTGTCAACAATGCATAAGAATATACCTTATGTAATTTGGTGCCCCGTATGAACACGCCCTTAAACATCAGTGCTTTGATTTCTCTTGATACAGAGGAAACAGACAACCTTGATTTTTCTATGTTAAATGTCTCTCATGTTGCACTGCAATAAACACAGTACTAATAGTCAGCTTAGAGGAAACAGTGCTTTGTTATCTCTTGTTACAGAGGCAACAGACAACTTTTTTATGTTAAAGTTAATCAAGAAGGGTAAAGATAAACATATCAGCTAAAACTGTTATTGCAAGGTAACAGGAAAGAAAGAAGATAGCTCATGCACATTAGTCAAAGATACGGTATTAAACATGCATTGTTTACTCCTAATATGCATATGAAATTAGCAAGACTGAGCTTTTCCAATGGGATGTTTGTTCCCAAATTGGTGGTAGCATACATTCAGAAGTGGTCGTCTTTACTAGTGCAACAATACTTTTCATTTTTAAATACTTCAAGATTAATTGAATTATACCTAAAATCACTAAAATGCACTACATCTGTCTGCAGGCTTCCTGCCAAAAGGAGATGTACAAACATTCTACAGCTCACATCTGTTCCTTTTATAGTGAATGGGAAGACATTATGGCTCCCTCTGTATGAGATTGGTTGTCTAAACCAGTGGTTCTCAACTGGTTTTGCCTCGAGACCCAAATTGAAACAGGTTGTCTCATTAGTGATCCAATATTCGCATCAACATTTTTTTGTTGTTGCCATAATGCGATCTGGAAAACTATTTGTAATGCTATATTGATAGTAAATGTACCAATTATATGACAAGGGAACCACAGTCCCACCTTTTTCATTGTCAATTATTTAAATTCTGCCCATATTCCTGACACAACAGTTGAGAATGGCTGGTCTAAACTAAGGGGAAGGACAGGAGAAATCACCTGTCCAGGTATCACCTCCTTGGGCACAGTATGTATGCCCAGGGTGCCAGGGTCACTGGACTTCACACACCAGCCCTGCAACACACAAGTTCTGCCGATGTTCACCATGCCAAGCTGTTGTCAACCAACAAACGCTTTACCACAAGTGTATATGGATAAAATCCAATTGAAAATCCATCATATATCAACATCAGTGAGGAACTCAAAATGATGTGATGACTAGAAAATGAGATTGTCAATCCATTTTTGGTTTTGGAACTTAGATTTTGGATGCAAACTCAACAAAAAACCATGGCAACTTTCACCTACAGCATCCACTGATAGAGTGGAGGAGTGCGCTAGTTGTGATTCAGTCTGCCTTTACCTTTCTAATGAAAAGGGATCCAGGTGGGACTGACAATAGCAGATGTCAAAGTTGTCATGGCGAGAACTAAACGCATTAAGCTTGAAGTGGTAGCAGGCAAGTTAGATAACAAGATAGATCAGTAAAGCTGTTATGATTTCTTTGATATTCGGAGCGTTAGTGCAGTGCTGAGACCTATGAAGAAAATTAATCAACAGCAGATACAATGTTCCCATGGTACAGAGCACCTTAATGTTTCTCTCCATATACCTGAGGTTTATGCGCCATCTGCCAATATAACTACACATTTATTTTAAACCGTGGATAGACGGTCTGGTGTGCCACAAGAGGAGATTCTTAAGCCTCATTTTGCTATCACACTACTGATTACATGACTAGGATGGATGATGGTTGCATACTGATGTATTAACAGGTGAGACTACAATGTTATGTCTCTGTAAATTATATTATCCCAAATAAATATTGAAACATCAATAACAGTTTTCCTCAACAATACACACTTACAATATTCTACCAATCTGTGTGTTTTTGCATTTACACGACATGTTATTACGCACAAAACAAATGGCTGATTTTGTACATAGTCTGCCAATACAAACCTTATGAGGGTCCAGTGTAAAGTTTGGTCGCAGAAGACTGCCAGCATCTGCATGGTTGTCGTGGTCGACCTCATACATGTTGTAGGAAGGGTTTCCTATCTCCACATTTATCCCTCCATTCGTCATGGGCTGCCTTGTCACCCGCTTCCCCCTGGGATAAGGAGGACAACCAGCACTCATTATCAAGAGATAATACATGGTATGTTTTACCGGAGATCACCAGCCACACCACAATTTAAATTGAAGTGAATACTTAATTGTCCCATATGGAAATATGTCTGGCAATAATACAGGCATTCCTGGCATACACATAAAACTACAAGACATACAACACATATCACAGGACATACCAGCCAGCATGGTTACTTATTAGGCTTAACCTATTGTACCTCTGCCTTCGTTTGCAGATGAAAACGCCCGCCACCACCGTTGTGATCAAGATCACCAGCAGGACCAGAGGCACGATGATGGCTATGCTCCCTGAAACACAGATAAGATAAAGGATGGAATTGCATTCCTGTTACTGTTATCACAAGCTATGTTTCCATTAACTTGTTCAGTGATTTTTTGTCGACATTTAGAAAGTTTGCATAGAAAATAGATGCCACAATTGCCTGTGACGGTGTGTTTCCATTTAACCATCGTCTCAATAAAAACAGCTGGACGTAATGACATCAAACATAAAAAAAAAGTGTTTCCATTACCCATTAAGGCAAATTGCGCATTAATACATTGGCGACAGCCTGTATCCCCTTCCTGTTTGTCTCAGGTAGCTCGCCAAAGCCAGCATGGATAGAATGTAATAATTGACTAATATTTGCCATATTCTAATAATTTTCATGTGCCAACGTATCACCACGGTTCGTGCTATGATGAAACTTGTACTCCTGTAGATAATTGGATGGTGAAACTTCCATCCAGCCAACCAGAAAAGCAAAGCGAAGCAATTCAGGCATTATTGAAAGTACAGGAAAAGGAGGGCCGAGCACACCCCCATTCTCACCGACAGAGCTGTAGTGGAGCAGGTTGAGAGCTTCAAGTGCCTTGGCTTCCACATCACCAACAAACTATCATGGTCCAAACACACCAAGAAAGTCGTGAAGAGGGCACGACAACACCTATTCCCCCTCAGGAGACTGAAAAGACTTGGCATGGGTCCTCAGATCCTCAAAAAAATATACAGTTTCACCATTGAGAGCAAACTGACTGGTTGCATCAACGCCTGGTATGGCAACTGCTTGGCCTCTGACCGCAAGGCGATACAGAGGGTAGTGCGTACGGCCCAGTACATCACTGGGGCCAAGCTTCCTGCCATCCAGGACCTCTATACCAGGCGGTGTCAGAGGAAGGCCCTAAGAATTGACAAAGACTCCAGCCACTCTAGTCATAGCCTGTTCTCTCTGCTACCGCACAGCAAGCAGTACCGGAGCGCCAAGTCTAGGTCCAAAAGGCTTCTTAACAGCTTCTACCCCCAAGCCATAAGACTGCTGAACAGCTAATCAACTGGCTACCCGGACTATTTGAATTGACCCCCCCCTTTTTTAAACGCTGCTGCTACTCGCTGTTTATTATCTATGCATAGTGACTTTACCCATATGTACATATTACCTCGACTAACCTGCACCCCCGCACATTGACTCGGTACCGGTAGCCCCTGTAAATAGCCTTGTTATTGTTATTTTATTGTTACTTACGTTTTTTACTTTAGTTATTTAGGAAATATTTTCTTAACTCTTATTTTTCTTGAGACTGCATTGTTGGTTAAGGGCTTGTAAGTAAGCATTTCACGGTAAGGTCTACACCTGTTGTATTCGGCGCATGTGACAAATAAAAATGTATTTGAAGTCATGACAATCCTTGTCCTGCAAAGAAACATACGTTTTATAGTTGAAAAAATTGATTTTGCAAGCAGTAGGCATTTAGAATGAAATGTGGAGTGGAGCTTTATAGCAGAGATACTGTATATAAGACGAGATGGTCTCCGCCTAAAAATGGAAGTCGTTGTCCCAATGTTGGGAAGGCAGGTGGTCTGCTTATTGGTCTGCTTTTATTGGCGTATTCCCGCTTGGACAGATTGACGGGAGTGGACCCTCTCACTTCGCCTCTTGCTCTCTGTTTATAGTTAGGCCTACGTGTTGACAATCCACCTAACCATAACCAAAACACTAACCAGAGGATGGCTATGTATGACACTGGGTGAGTGGTGACTCCTGAACTCACTTCCACTGGTGTTGTCCAATCTGCTGCTTTTGGGGGCGGGCCTTTCACACTGTGTCCCTGCCCAATTGGCTGAGCACCTAGAACAGACCAATCAGAGAGGAGAAAATCAACCATAGTCCTTAGCGCTCTCTACCTTAATCCCCGCATAGGAGGATCACTATGGGAGCAAAGGAGACACTAAACCATGGATTAAAATATTACAGATTTAGTCCAGTAGATTTGATATAAAGCACACAGAAGACATCTACATATAGTGAGGAGTAGATAACATACTGATTAACATGATGAATATTCAGCAAAAAACAGTAAGAAAACAAGGAGTCATCTGGTTTGCTGTTTGGATGGTATCCAATGGGAGTGATGACCCTAGTTAGAGGAGGTGATTTCCGATTGGACTTGATTGACGCTGATGTGTCTGTAAAGCATGAGTGATCTGACGGCTGCAACTGGATGGTGACGGAAGGTATGGAATTACACTAAATTACATGCACTCCAAGAATCACAACACCAAACAATCAGGAATAAGAATGAGAATAGCATCTCACACATACAAACAATGAATCATTCCCCCATAGAAAGAATCACAGCATGGACAATCATTAATTTGAATGGGAAAAATATCAAATACAATGTTGTTAGAAAAAATATTAGGTAAGATCTGATGAACAGAACATGGTTTGTAATCTAATCTAAAACATAACCATTGACATGCTTTGAATGTACTTATTTCATATCTAGATACTATGCAACTCCTCAAAGTTCCATTTTCTTGTCTCCCAATTTGCATTGCAAAATGAGTCACCATACATGCAGGTCACAACAGGTCCCCTATAGTCACGTCACATCACAACATCACTTGAATGTTACTCGAAGGGCATGTCAGCTCGGGCTGAATGAGATGCGGATGGTTAGCAGTGAGTTAAAGAGGGAGTAGGTACTGTATTAGAGGGGGAAAAGTGTTATATTGACCATCACACTGACTGAAATGGAGCTGAATGACGAGAGGGCAGAGGGGGGAGGGTGAGACCTGGAACAGCCACAGGAAGTGAGGTAGGGACCTACTTGCAGCGTGGTTTGTTAAGGGCAGTGATAGTGCACATCCCCTCATTCTGACAGAAGTAATCACATGGGTTGGCCAGCTCATCACAACGTTGGTTCTTGAACCCTGACGTGCAGCTGTAAAACAGTGTAGTGGAGTGGTATTGATCAAAACAACCAGGGTAGGTATTGTATAGGCAAATGGAAACCCTTCAGCATGGCAACAAACAAAATACTTTAATAGATTTGTCCCTTGGTAAACTTTCATGTTTTTATAATTAATGCAAAAGCCTAAAGACAACCACATCCATTGAGGCAAAAAATAAGTTTTCAGTAGTTATGTATTCGCGCTATGCTTATTTACAGAACATTTTAAAAGCAGATTATTTATGAACACGTTGATCTTGATAAACAGTCTGTGCCCAGTGAATTCATCAAAACAATTATTATGCCCACTTTATGTTTATATACACTGATTATATTTACTGGCGGAACACATTGATGAGTTTTGAAAATCCCTTAGACCTTTAAGACAGTTATCAGAAAATTACCATCTCAATGAGGATTTTTCTGCCTGTGGAGTTTCTCGGGTGGCTCGGATAAGATATTAATTTACTCTGTTATAGTTTAAGGTCAAACATTATGATTTCTTGACACAGACGTATCCATCATCTAACCTAATCTCTATGCCTCGCAGCCAATGAATAAACCACATTATCAAGATCTGTTAACCTCGTAGAAAACGAGATGGGATCATTTGCATAGAAATTGATTCTATCCCTTGAATCTTGCCAGTCATGGCCACAAATTTCATTTTAACTACAATGGACAATGGGGCAGTAAAAAAGATTGTTCGAGCAACAAGGTTTCCCTTTTCAGAGGGATTTCCAATCATCTCCGTGGGGAGGTCTTTAACATTGATTATAACGGAGCTGAAATTAATCTTTGTGGACCACCAGAACCGCAGAGCATTCTTTCTCCTGGATGATTCCCACAGGTCTCTGGAGCCAACCTATTGTCCTCTACCAGTCATTGCCATGGAGTTGCTGCCACTCATAACTTGTATAACACACTCCTTATCACTGAAGATCAAAATAGTGTATACGCTTTCTCCTGAAACCTACCACAGAGTGGAGACAATGACAAACGAACAGTGTGATACGTTCAGAACAGTAACGTTTCAGTAGTTTGAGTTAATGGTTACTTCCTGTAACTGTACCCCATACAGAGCTTATTTTCTTCTACACTGCCCCAGATGGTTAGCTTTCTAAAGATCTATAGCCACATCAAAGCCCCTCATGTAGAGGCAGGTGTGACTCATCTTATTGAGCCATAACATCCTGTATCTTACTGTGACATGGCCTGCGCCCACTGGTGTCAAACTCTCTCTACTTAGGATCTTAGCCCTGTGTAATTTCTTTTTTTTTACTCCCCTATGCCACCACCACTTTCAAAAATCAATCATTAGAATAAAAGCCCAAGGAGATTTGGTTCCACTTTAGGCTGTTTGGCACAACTGAATGGCAATGAAGAATAAAGTAAGAAAAGAGAAGATAACTTTCCTAGGCTATTGTTATTCCAGGCTATTGCTAATAGCTAATTACTGTACTTACTGACAGAAGGGCAGGTTGGTGTCAGGGTCCAGGTGACAGGTACCTCCGTTGTAACAGTAGCCGTCACATAGCTGACAACTGGGTGCCATCCTGCCATTAGTACAGCTGAAGGAACAAATAGGAAAGCTGCTGTCACTGAGTTGTGTCCCACAATTTCTGTCATTCTTTCATTGTTTGTTTGAGAGTGCAAGAATACTGATTGATAACCTTGTGATTATGACCTATTTTCTGTGTCAACAGCCTTGAAAAATGTGAAGCTATGAAATGTTAATGCATTAGAACCATAGAAAATACTTTGGTAAAACATTACATGGAAGACTGTTCAACTACAGTACATCAAGCATTAGCTCTAAGGCGTTAACCCAACACAGAATATAAAGTAATGTTGTGAGATGCTAACAACTTACTTGCAGACCACATCTCCTGTGTCATCGTTGACGAGGCAAGGTGCTCCGTGGCACCTCAGGCACTTGTCCACCTCACACTTGTTGCCCTCGTATTTGGCCGGACACACACACTCTACATGGCCACTACTGGACAATGTACAGGCCTTGGAGTTCACACAGTAGTGATGGCAGATGTCTGTCAGAGGAGAGAAAGACCAGAAGAGAGAGAAAGAAAGAGCGAGAGAGCGAGAAAGAGAGAGCGAGACCAAGTGACAGGAAAAGAGAGACAGAAAGAGAGAATAGACAGAAGGAGAGAAAGAGGTGCATTTCATATTGAGGAAATGGGAGCATAGTTTTAGTTGGTTTGATTACAATTTAACAGGCCTTTAATGAGAATTAATTATCCGCATCAAATGGCATCTTGTCCACAGATGAAAACGTATCACCCCTTGGGCAAGTTACAGTAGAAACGCAGTAATGGCGTCAGTTGAAATTGTTTTCCCCACAATTTATAATGACAAAGCCAACATAAGGGAAGGAAATATTTTATCAGTGAAGCACAGAAACCCCCAAAGGTTGTTTAGAGTGGCATTTACAATGACTCTCTCACCCACACATGGTATTTGTAGCTATGAAATGCCCTTTCTGGTATTTTTTTATATAATATTTTTCATTGTTTGATTTAGTATTTATCGTTGGAGCCTTAAATATGCAAAACTAAAAAGATATTTTTCTAGAGAGTGTGACTGAATATAAATGGTCAGCTATTGTTGTTTATTCTTGTTCTTTAGTGATCTTGGGAATGCTACAGGGTAGGTTGATACTGATTGTGTTAAGGTCAAATGTTTATGTGGAGTTTGTTGTTATTGCTGGTGGATTGGCCTATGGTTGGAAATACATGACAGGATTTTAAGGGAGGGTTGTGCTCCTCATAACAAATCAGTGGCTCTCCATGGGACTTGAAATATACATTTGGGCCACCCAAAAAATATATTTTGACCACAGGCACCCCCAAGAGTCCATATGTAATTGAATCCCTTTACTCACGGTACAGACAGCGGTCTCCAGTATACTCTGCCATGCAGCGGCACACCGGCTGGTTCCCTAGGCTGACATCACAGGTACCACCATTCAGACAGTAGTAATCACACACCCGCTTCTCACAGAACGGACCTGTAAACCCTACAGGGCACCGACATGTCGGCTTCCCTGGAGGGATGGAGGGAGGGAGGAGAGGAAAGGAGAGGAGAGGATTGAGAGTTTGGCTGACAATTCTGGGCATGTCCCATTTACATTGTTTATTACAAAGACACTATAACTCAAGTGTTTTTGAGGATGTGTGTGTTTGTTCCCAAAGTTGAGTATCAAGTATATGAAAAACCCAAGATAAAAGTTCCTTGATAACACAAGGTCCCTGGAAGTCAGAGAGAAATAACTGAAATATTTCCTTTAATTGATTACAGTGGGTGTCTCCAGTGAGACCTGTTTTCTTCCATCACTAAACTGGGGTACTTGAGGAAACACATTTGACAATAAGCTCTCCCAAGCTCTGCTTCCATCGCTCATTTTGAACAATACTCCCCAAGCCTGGGGATGTGTGCTCAACACAGCGAAACCTCTTACTTTATGAAACAACTCTCAGTCTTCTAGCATGGATGAACAGCACACAGAACAGTCAGTGACTGTATGCCCAGCAGCGGAACAAATAGGCCATCACTTTGTTTCACTCCTCTTCGACTGCATTGGACATAAATGAGGGTACCATTCATCATATAATACTGACTGGGCTGGTGAACCAAACAAGATTGAGAAACCAAATGAGAAACCCTGCCTCCAAATCTCCAACTAATTTAAAATCCCACTGTGATACTCACTTCTCTTCAATCAAATATTATCTTTGTCTCTTAAAAACAGAATGTTATTACATATCACTGACACAAATATCAGGCATCTGTCTAGCTCATTAACCAAATGCTGCTGTCATAATACAAAGGCAGCCAGCTTGAACTCAATTGACTGAGGACACCAACATGTTCAACATATTATTCCCAAACTATCAAATACCTGGTCTTCATTCCCCCGGGCAAGAGTCTTAGATATTGTGAATAAAATGGCCAGGGAGTGTAGCAAGTTAAAGTATTTTATGATAGATTACACATTTATTACGAGAGGAGATAGAGAAAATCTGTTTTAAGGGCAAACATTTCACTTCCCAGACTAAACGATTCAAATCAAAAGTTGTAGACCAGTCTCTAAATACTTTATCTATCCCCAGTAATGACTGGAGCATTAAAACTACTCCGACTGTTCAATTACAGTTTTTATGTATGTGTTAGCATTCAACACTCAGCTACTATATTTAGCACACTCTCTAAAATGGACTTTCATCATTTTCAAGGTTTACAAATCCATGAAGCGATTTCACATTTTCACGAATCTTCAAAACAAAAATGTTTTATTTGAGTAACAGTCAGGAAAACCACAGCAATCCAAATGCATCTATCGCTAGGGGTAATTGCTCGTGAGACCACACAGCATCAGTTCTAAGAGACTGATGTTGTGAATAATTGCCCTCTTGCATGCATTATGTAATCGGTTGACTGGTTTTTAGCACGGCGACGTGAAGTAAAACTGAAGTGCTCTGCACTATTCTAGTTTATCCATATTAGTCAGGATGAGTGGCAAACTAACAATTTGAGACAAATTGTCAAATGTGTGTGTAGAATGTACATGTAACAAAAAAAGAAAAAGCTGTAAAAACAAAGTTTAGTTTTGTCCTCCGAAGAGCGGGAATAATGGGCCAATAATAATAATAATAAGACATGATCGGTTCCGTTATTAACATGTCGTCTCTATTATGCTTCATGCTTATTCTACCTATATCAATCAATCAATGTTGTAAGACCGTTGTAGCACATGCGCCTTTAGATATACTGACCACTCCCAACAACCCAGAGAGTCCTTACAACTTAACTACTTATGAGTAAAGACAGCTGAGCACATAATGCCTTATGTCAATCACCCTCTGATCAATCCATCCATCCATCCATTTATCTACCGATCAATATATGGATTTTAACAGCAGACTCACCCAGGGGTGAGCCCATGCAGGTGCCTCCGTTGAGGCAGTAGTCGGTGCAGTGGTTGACCTCACAGCGTTCTCCAGAGAAGTCAGGCCAGCAGTAGCAGCGCCAGTCGCCCTTCTCATTGGCCAGGCAGCGCCCGCCGTTCTCACACGGTGGCCGGCACAGCTCGCCTACAACACAACAATAATGCACAGCATGTTCATTATGCTGAACTAGTGGACAGGTTTTCTGAAGTACCTTCTAAACTATGAATCATCATCAGTGTCATTTAGCTGGGCCAGGAGAAAGAGCATGATACTGTACAAGCATGTAATCTTATGTTATCATTTCAAAACATGCACCTCCACTTTCAAGTCTTATTTTGAAGTACACAAAATCCTGAGCGATTCAGAAAGATTTTACTTCATTAATTTGCATTGGCCAAGTGCCACCTCAGCTGGATTGCCTACTGTAGCAGTTTTAGAGGTGACATTACGTTGGCAGGCAGTAAGTGAAGTTTAGGCAGCGGTCTTGAAGAGCTTACCTGAGATGTTGACATCACTGCAGGAGCCGTTGACCAGTACCTTCCCTTCTGGACAGGTGCAGGTGGCACCCTTTGGGTTCAGTAGACACATGAAGTCACAGTTCATTCTCAGGCATGGGTTCACCGCTGAAAGACAAGAGGCAAACGCCAAGAGGATTCATTATTCCAGCCAAAGCTTCAATACAGCCATCAACAAACAAAACACATTCATGCCTTTATTATTATTCTTCAATTTAACATTTTTTTTTTATTATTTGAGGCAAAACATGTTATTCTTTGACAACATAGAGAGGGAAGAGGCTAAACCTTATGATTTATTTCATACTATTCACAAATGTATTGCTATTCAGAATCAACAAGAGACATGATCCACATTCCACTCAATGCCTTGTCCTAGAGGATTACCATGCCCTGTTAGTGAACACTACTTCAATATGCACAACATCAGCAGCATGCTGCCATTTTGCTCCAATAAGTCAATTGAAGTGTTGGGTTTTCAACGAAAAAGAACAAAAACAGTTCTCGAATTACACAGATGTGTTGTGTTCGGGGTTATAGGGATCATTGTGGATCAAAGCTAGCGAAAGAAGAGGGTGTCAGTGTGTTTTGCTGAAGACATCAAACCAACACTCAGGGTCTTTCTGTTCTGCTAGATGTGCAGTAACTTTTGCTGCCCAAAGAGTAGGCTACATGGCTGGACTAATGAGTCTTTGGAGAACGGTACAGCTGCCCTTTACTGAAGAAGATATGTCCGACGCTTCATAAATACTAACAATACACAGATAATAAATAGCAACCGAGTAGAGGCTAAGAATGTGAAATATATTGGTCCTATCATGGAAAATGAGATGACTCGCTCATGTCCCACACTTGAGAAAATGAAAAACTAGCTCAAGAAGACTATAAGCTCTTCCATTCAGGAGTTAGACCCACATAACCAGCTAGAATATCAATGCTACATTGGTGCATTGTCGTCTTGTTTGTTACTGTAATATCATGGTGCATTGTCGTCTTGTTTGTTACTGTAATATCATGGTGCATTGTCGTCTTGTTTGTTACTGTAATATCATGTTAGTTGCCCTTGTTATGCTTGCATTTACACTAGAATGCCGTTCAGCTGGTACTTTCAATATCCACATTACACAACCCTGATCATTTCCATGTATTACCCTTGACCCTCATTAACACTTGTATTCATTAAAATACCCACTGAAACAAAGCAGTAGATGTTTTTTATTTACCATCTTGCTGCTTGTATCGGTGGGAGATCATGACATTGGTCGTTTTCTCGAGACCCAAGTGGAGAAACTCTACAGGCTGTTTGCCATACTTGTGAACTTTGAAGACCTCGTGTTTTAGCCCAGTCCCGTAGATGTAGTCTTCAAATATGTCAATCCTGTATGGCTGGGATATTCCTGGAAACACAGCAGTGGAAACAGAATAAAGGTAGGGTGGAAAGAAGCATATGACCATGAACACTGTTGTAGTTTTAATGAGGGTTTGTAAATCCCAGGACAGTAGTAGTAGCTAGTAGGAAACCTCATCTGTGTGGTTAGATAGTAGTACTATACTACACTGGTTAACAGCTTGCTATAGCCACACATGCATGCACGCACACACACTATTATTGTAGCAATCTGTTGATCAAATGTAGAGGAAATTAAACAAATGATCACATCAGTAGCTAGTATGTGCTTGGATAGTCAATCTTTGTTTTGTTCTCAGTGGTGGTGTTACCGTGTCTGTCCCTGATTGCCACCAGAGGGTCCGACCCATCCAATCTCACACTGCCTATCTCGGAGAGCTCAGGATCAGCCCAATACAAACGTTGGTTAAAGTAATCAATGGCCAGACCTGGGGAGGATGAGAGGAAGATATTTATTTTCCTTATGAATTGTGTAAAGATCAATATGGACGCCTTCATTCCGACAGCCCTCAGGTTCTAAACAGCGTTAGGCTGTGGATAGACTGCATAAACAGACAGTTATTTTATTTATCTCCTTTAGATATCTCACTTTCTATGCAGTCGAGAGTCATTAACGTTGAATCATACTACAGGACATATACAGTATATTTGTATTTTCTTTTGATGACAGACATTTTAAGTTATGTCCTACATTTCCCTTTTTATAAAATGTTTTTCTATCATGTGTTTGACTGGATAAATGACTCAAGTTGTCATGGCTATTAAATGGGTGTGTGTTTTTCCACAAATTATAAATTCCCCCTACCTTGGCAGACAGTGCATGTGTCCCTTGCATTAAAGGAGGCCAAACCATATTTTAAAAAGTAGATCAGCACTAAGTGTCTCCCCCAGGACCATCACAGCAGGTTTGGTGTGTCAGACACATTCATTTACTTTTTTCCATGGCCTTATTTTCAAACATATCTATCCTCTAGTCTACAACTAGCCTGGTCCCAGATCGGTTTGTACTGTCTTGCCAACTCCTATGGTTGTTCTCATTGCCAAGACTGCACAAACAGATCATCTGGGACCAGGCTAGTCTACAACATCACATCTCAATGAAAATATAAAAATGGACTTGGAAAATACAAGCAGATTAATATGATAGTGTACTGTAGATACCTGTTGGTCTCCTGAGGTTCTTCTCCAAGAGGATCCTACGCATGGACCCATCCATAGCCGACTCCTCAATATGAGAATGATCACCTATTACTGTCCAATACATCATCCTGTAGAAGATGCAAAGATAAGCATTTCCTGCTAGGTGTCCATAACATCTGTGGCCTCATTTATCAACCAGCGTACATTTCTTACTAAATTCTGGCATACGTGGAGTTAAGGATTTGTGTGCGGCACAAATGATTGGGATTTATCAACTCTGTCGCACGCAACATATACATATTTCATTGATAAATCAGAGCCATATTAAATTTGTGCGGCCATGAACGAGTGTTAAAACCCTGCCTGGAAAATGCCCTCCATTCACCTTTTATGGTAACAAAAATGCCCTCCCTCATTTGCTGTAAGATTTGGAGATGTTGGAACTGGGCCATGATAATTCCTAAAAGAAAGTGCAATTATCACATTTCTGTAGAGGTTTGGGCAGAATGCTGCAGTGACTTTTCCAAACTTAAAATACATGCTGCCTAGCGAGTGCCAAACACTAGCTGCACATTCTGGAAGATTGATTGTCCTTTTGAACAATTTAAGAGTAAACGCTACAGCCCACACTTCTATGCAAAAGACAAATTGTTGTTCAATATTTTGTTTATCAATACATGATTGTGTTTCTATCTCCTGCCTTGGTATAGGCTCTGAGATTAAATATGTTAGGGTATGATGTCGCACTCCTAATATCGCACAGCAATACTGTTGCCTACCCATCCTGTCAAGGCTACCGGTCTATTTACTTTCGAGCCAAAAGGTCTATTTACTTTCGAGCATGCTTAGCAATTGAATGAGCGATTGATAAATGGTGGCCTACGATTTGTTGCGTAGTGTGAATAATTTAAACCAGTTATGTAAGAAAAGGAGAGATGTCCTGCAATATGATTATGATTTAGGCCTATTTAATAAAAAAGTTAAATAAACATATTAGACAACATGCTGCTATGCAATCTCCTTACCAATGGCAAATGCATTGGTTTTATCATTAGGCCTATGATTTTTTTATTTATTAGCCTACCATTATTATAATTCCTGTGCATCAAACACCTTCCATTTCCCCCAAACGAACAATAAGCCTATTTGCTTGCAATACAGTTGATCAACCTTCTAGAAGTTGTGCGCACGCATGGTCAGAGTTGGGGAAGCTACTCTGAAAATATAACCAAGCTACCAATTACTTCACGCTGGAAGCAACCCTTAAGAAAAACATAGTTTACTTAACTAAAGTTACTTTTTTTTTTAAGTATCTCACTACATCCAAACTACTACATGAAAAAATATATCTAAATCTGAAATGTCAGACTACAAATTGCAAGAACAGATCACTCTGGAGTCAAGTGTTAACAGAATGTGTAATATAGCCTATTTTTTACAAGTGAGAATTAGGTGGGTCTGCTGCTGGAAAAATTATTATTATTATTTTAGCAAAAATAAATAGTGTGTAGGCTTAGTTCAAGTAGTTAGCTACACGGCAAAAAAAAAAAACTTTTGATAACACTACATAAAATGTAGTTAAATTACTAGTTGCACTACATGTAGTTCACTACCCCAACACTGAGCATGGTTTGAGATTTGCGTGGAGACATGCACACTTTCCCATCAAGCTAAAAATGTATAAATACCAACCTTTGCGGGAAAACTGGCACATGCAAGGTTGAGTCTTTCTTGTGCAAAAACACCTTTAATAATGAGACCCCTGGTCTTCATGGATAACAGGGGATTAAACAAATCCCTGTCTATACTTAGAGAATCCCTAGAATCTCTGTCTATACTTATATCTTAAACTCAGTAAGAAAACAAATCTTGGATACAATCGTGGATGAATCTTTAAAAATTGCACAGCTGTCTTTCTCCGGGAGACTGGCAAAATAACGACAAAACAAAACGGTATAAAGTGAAAACATAATGATGAAATTTGACATGGTCTGAAAAGAATGCTCTTACCCTCGGGCTGGGTTGACAGCAATGGCGTACGGCTCTCCTGCAATGTCAGTTATCAGACGGGTGCAATTTGGCCCTCTGAGCTGGCCCACGTTTATAGAGTATCTGAGCTTAGTCCAGTGGGCTGTGTAATAGCTGAACCAGTGCATCCGAGAGTGGTCTGTCCAATAGATATTTCCTGTAATCCAGTCAGCAGACACATCTCTCGGTCTACGGAAGTCTGAACACTGCAAGGAAAATGAGAGCTTATAAACATGACATCGTGAACATGACGAAGACTTCCAAGGTATTTGTATTACACATGGCAAATAAACTTGAAACTTTTAACATTCAGATGTGAAGAATTTTCTTCTATCAAACCTGATAAAAGGTCTGTTTAATGCAATACTTGATGCTAGTAAAGGTTTAGTAGCCTATGCTAAATGTGTAAGAAGTCTTACGTGTGATCCCATAATACTTTATGCAATGTTTCCAACGTGACAACGGCTCAAACTTTTGATCAATGTACATCATGGTCTTAGAATAAGAGTATCTACAAATGACATTGAAAGATGTGTAATTATCTTAAAACATTGTGCTAGCTTTCTCTCCGACTGTCAGCAGGCAAGACATTCATTACGTCCGAGACATTCATTACTTTAGGTCAAACAATAACTGGAAAAAGCGTGGCACCTTGCTAATGTTCTGTTCTCTCGCTCACAGACATTAATAAGATATGTGACTATATGAGTTATACATTTAATCTTCAAACGCTCACTGCTGTATTCAAGCTCTCATTGCTATAATCATTCTATAATTCATTGTCCTCAAATGCAACAACAATGTAGCTTCAATGGCTTTAGAAAAGAAAGAAACATGCATATATTGTAATAGGGCTACTTAATACTGTAGATACCCTGTTGATATTAGCATATGGATATTAAATGTACAAATCATACATTCAATTATACATTGAAAAGTAAAGTACACTTTCCAACCACACCTTTGGAGATACTTACTATGTTTCCGACATGAGTTTTACTTTGACTCTTGTCTAGGATTTCTTTGTAAAAAAGCCCACCAGGGTTAAACTGTGTAGCCCAGATAAACTTTTGTTGGTGTAACAGAGCATCCATCCCAATAATGCGGGCATTGTCCTCGATGCGAGTGAGGAATTTGTGTCCATGGCTCTGGTTAAATGGATACACAAAACTTCGGATTTCAGTGTCATTAGCTATGTAGAGCACTCGATCTTCTGGTCCTGCCCGTTGTTGAGTTATTAATATGCAAAAAAAATGAAAAGTGGCTCAATTCCATTTGGGGTTTTAAACAACAATTTGACAGCATCATTTCATTTACAGAAGCAAAGTATTCTCTAATGTATGTAATCAAGTCATCATTTATAAACATTCTGGGGTAGTTTCCTGGACACAGATTAAGCCTAGTCCTGGACTAAAAGGCAAGTCCAATAGAGAATCTCCATTGAAAGTGCTTTTTATTCCAGAACTAGGCTTAATCTGTGTCCAGGAAACCACCCTATATCACGTTCCTTTATGATCAGGATAATAATAATACATAATCACATAGCAACAAGACCAGTCATTTATTATTACTACTACCCACGGTGCCAATCAGTAGGAATTGTGGGATAGATTAATATGTATCACAGTGAGGTATACACCCGTAATATATAATCCTTATTGGTCACATCAGAAACAGATGCAGACTCAAGTATTATACTCTTTAAAATGGTTAAATGGCTGGTTTTGTATACATTCAGTGTTACTTATACAATCCTGTCATCTTAATGTAAAGTTAATCTGATGACTATGACAGTATATTTACAAGAGTGCTAAGGATACAGTACAGTCTATGAGTACAGTGTTATCTTAATAGCTATTGAATAAAACTCTTCAATTCAAATAAAGGGTATACAATATTCAAGAAAAAGTTGCAGTTTATAGAAATACATACTATACTTAGTTTATACTAAAGTTTTAATTCATTTAGCAAAACATGACATACCTATTGAAACTACAACAGTTAACAATCGTAGTTCAAGATACACAGCAAGGTCTTTGATAGTTCAATGTACTTCAGTTAGCACATACAGTACAGTAATAAAATGGTCCATACCTTTTACTATACAGTTTCCATTGATTTCCTTAAAATTCCTGTCACAAGTACACTTGAAGGATCCTTTAGTGTTTGTACAATAGTGAGCACACATGTCAAACCCAAGACACTCATTGATTTCTGAGGAGAAAAGAAAAAAAAAGAAATCAGTCAGTTACTAAGCTGCCATACCTCTCAAATAAAAATGGAAACAAGCATTTCAGTTCATGTTGACATCGTACCAACCTATCGGATGTGAGGATATCTATTGTATAGTCTAATTGGGTAAAAACAATATATACTGAACAAAAACATAAACGTAACATGCAACAATTTCAAAGACTTCCAGTTCAGATACGGGAATAAGTCAATTTAAATAAATAAATTAGGCCCTAATCTATGGATTTCACATGACTGGGAATACAGATATGCATCTGTTGGTCACATATACCTTTAAAAAAGGTAGGGGGGTGGATCAGAAAACGAGTCAGTATCTGGTGTGACCACGTGCCCATACCATAACCCCACCATGAAACACTCTGTTCACAACGTTGACATCAGCAAACCGCTCGACAACACGATGTCATACACTTGGTCTGCGGTTGTGAGGCCGGTTGGACGTTCTGCCCAATTATTTAAAACGACGTTGGAGGTGGCTTATGGTAGAGAAATTAACATTCAATTATCTGGCAACAGCTCTGATGGACATTCCTGCAGTCAGCTACTATAAGCACGTACTCTGAGAGCTATTGATGGAATCTGGGCGTCTTGAAGAAAAACTAGAAAGCCATGTTATGTACAGTTGAAGTCGGAAGTTTACATACACCTTAGCCAAATACATTTAAACTCAGTTTTTCACAATTCCTGACATTTAATCCTAGTAACAAAATCCCTGTCTTAGGTCAGTTAGGATCACCACTTTATTTTTAGAATGTGAAATATTAGAATAATAGTAGAGAGAATGATTTATTTCAGCTTTTATTTCTTTCATTACATTCCCAGTGGGTCAGAAGTTTACATACACTCAATTAGTATTTGGTAGCACTGCCTTTAAATTGTTTCACTTGGGTCAAACGTTTCGGGTAGCCTTCCACAAGCTTCCCACAATAAGTTGGGTGAATTTTGGCCCATTCCTCCTGACAGAGCTGGTGTAACTGAGTCAGGTTTGTAGGCCTCCTTGCTCACACGCTTTTTCAGTTCTGCCCACATATTTTCTATAGGATTGAGGTCAGGGCTTGTGATGGCTACTCCAATACCTTGACTTTGTTGTCCTTAAGCCATTTTGCCACAACTTAGGAAGTATGCTTGGGGTCATTGTCCATTTGGAAGACCCATTTGCGACCAAGCTTTAACTTCCTGACTGATGTCTTGAGATGTTGCTTCAATATATCCACATAATTTTCCTTCCTCATGATGCCATCTATTTTGTGAAGTGCACCAGTCCCTCCTGCAGCAAAGCACCCCCACAGCATGATTCTGCCACCCCCGTGCTTCACGGTTGGGATGGTGTTCTTCGGCTTGCAAGCCCCCCCTTTTTCCTCCAAACATAACGATGGTCATTATGGCCAAACAGTTCTATTTTTGTTTCATCAGACCAGAGGACATTTCTCCAAAAAGTACGACCTTTGTCCCCATGTGCAGTTACAAACCGTAGTCTGGCTTTTTTATGGCGGTTTTGGAGCAGTGGCTTCTTCCTTGCTGAGCGGCTTTTCAGGTTATGTCGATATAGGACTCGTTTTACTGTGGATATAGATACTTTCGTACCTGTTTCCTCCAGCATCTTCACAAGGTCCTTTGCTGTTGTTCTGGGATTGATTTGCACTTTTCGAACCAAAGTACGTTCATCTCTAGGAGACAGAACGCGTCTCCTTCCTGAGCGGTATGACGGCTGCATGGTCCCATGGTGTTTATACTTGCATACTATTGTTTGTACAGATGAACGTGGTACCTTCAGGTGTTTGGAAATTGCTCCCAAGCATGAACCAGACTTGTGGAGGTCTACAATTCTTTTTCTGAGGTCTTGACTGATTTCTTTTGATTTTCCCATGATGTCAAGCAAAGAGGCACTGAGTTTGAAGGTAGGCCTTGAAATACATCCACAGGTACACCTCCAATTGACTAAAATGATGTCAATTAGCTTATCAGAAGCTTCTAAAGCCATGACATCATTTTCTGGAATTTTCCAAGCTGTTTAAAAGGCACAGTCAACTTAGTGTATGTAAACTTCTGACCCACTGGAACTGTGATACAGTGAATTATAAGTGAAATAATCTGTCTGTAAACAATTGTTGGAAAAATTACTTGTGTCATGCACAAAGTAGATGTCCTAACCAACTTTCCAAAACTATAGTTTGTTAAGAATAAAATTGTGGAGTTGTTGAAAAACTAATTTTAATGACTCAAATCAAATTTAATTGGCCACATGCGCCAAATACAACAGTTGCAGACATTACAGTGAAATGCTTACTTACAGCCCTTAACCAACAGTGCATTTATTTTTAATAAAAAAAGTAAAATAAAACAACAAAAAAGTGTTGAGAAAAAAAAGAGCAGAAGTAAAATAAAATAACAGTAGGGAGGCTATATATACAGGGGGGTACCGGGGCAGAGTCAATGTGTGGGGGCACCGGCTAGTTGAGGTAGTTGAAGTAATATGTACATGTGGGTAGAGTTAAAGTGACTATGCATAAATAATTAACAGAGTAGCAGCAGCGTAAAAAGATGGGGTGGGGGGGGGGGCAGTGCAAATAGTCCGGGTAGCCATGATTAGCTGTTCAGGAGTCTTATGGCTTGGGGGTAGAAGCTGTTGAGAAGTATTTTGGACCTAGACTTGGCACTCCGGTACCGCTTGCCGTGCGGTAGCAGAGAGAACAGTCTATGACTAGGGTGGCTGGAGTCTTTGACAATTTTGAGGGCCTTCCTCCGACACCGCCTGGTATAGAGGACCTGGATGGCAGGAAGCTTGGCCCCAGTGATGTACTGGGCCGTACGCACTACCCTCTGTAGTGCCTTGCGGTCGGAGGCCAAGCAATTGCCATACCAGGCGGTGATGCAACCAGTCAGGATGCTCTCGATGGTGCAGCTGTAGAATTTTTTGAGGATCTGAGTACCCATGCCGAATCTTTTCAGTCTCCTGAGGGGGAATAGGCTTTGTCGTGCCCTCTTCACAACTGTCTTGGTGTGTTTGGACCATGATAGTTCGTTGGTGATGTGGACACCAAGGAACTTGAAGCTCTCAACCTGTTCCACTACAGCCCCGTTGATGAGAATGGGGGCGTGCTCAGTCCTAATTTTTTTCCTGTAGTCCACAATCATCTCCTTTGTCTTGGTCACGTTGAGGGAGAGGTTGTTATCCTGGCACCACACGGCCAGGTCTCTGACCTCCTCCCTATAGGCTGTCTCATCGTTGTTGGTGATCAGGCCTACCACTGTTGTGTCGTCGGCAAACTTAATGATGGTGTTGGAGTCGTGCATGGCCATGCAGTCATGGGTGAACAGGGAGTACAGGAGGGGACTGAGCACGCACCCCTGAGGGGCCCCCGTGTTGAGGATCAGTGTGGCAGATGTGTTGTTACCTACCCTTACCACCTGGGGGCGGCCCGTCAGGAAGTCCAGGATCCAGTTGCAGAGGGAGGTGTTTAGTCCCAGGATCCTTAGCTTAGTGATGAGCTTTGAGGGCACTATGGTGTTGAATGCTGAATGCTGTAGTCAATGAATAGCATTTTCACGTAGGTGTTCCTCTTGTCCAGGTGGGAAAGGGCAGTGTGGAGTGCAATAGAGATTGCATCATCTGTGGATCTGTTGGGGCGGTATGCAAATTGGAGTGGGTCTAGGGTTTCTGGGATAATGGTGTTGATGTGAGCCATGACCAGCCTTTCAAAGCACTTCATGGCTACAGACGTCAGTGCTACGGGTCGATAGTCATTTAGGCAGGTTCTCTTAGTGTCCTTGGGCACGGGGACTATGGTGGTCTGCTTGAAACATGTTGGTATTACAGACTCAGTCAGGGACATGTTGAAAATGTCAGTGAAGACACTTGCCAGTTGGTCAGCACATGCTCGGAGTACACGTCCTGGTAATCTGTCTGGCCCTGCGGTCTTGTAAATGTTGACCTGTTTAAAAGTCTTAGTCATATCGGCTACGGAGAGCGTGATCACATAGTCATCCGGGAACAGCTGGTGCTCTCATGCATGCTTCAGTGTTGCTTGCCTCGAAGCGAGCATAGAAGTGGTTTTGCTCGTCTGGTAGGCTTGTGTCACTGGGAAGCTCGCGGCTGTGCTTCCCTTTGTAGTCTGTAATAGTTTTCAAGCCCTGCCACATCCGACGAGCGTCAGAGTCGGTGTAGTACGATTGTCCTGTATTGACTCTTTGCCTGTTTGATGGTTCGTCGGAGGGCATAGCGGGATTTCTTATAAGCGTCCGGGTTAGAGTCCCACTCCTTGAAAGCGGCAGCTCTACCCTTTAGCTCAGTGCGGATGTTTCCTGTAATCCATGGCTTCTGGTTGGGGTATGTATAAAATAATATATAAATAATATGCCATTTAGCAGACGCTTTTTATCCAAAGCGACTTACAGTCATGCGTGCATACATTATTTTTATTTTATTTTATTTTTTTGTTTTTTTGTGTATGGGTGGTCCCGGGGATGGAACCCACTACCTTGGCGTTACAAGCGCCGTGCTCTACCAGCTGAGCTACAGAGGACCACACCATGTATGTACGGTCACTGTGGAGACGACATCATCGATGCACTTATTGATGAAGCCAGTGACTGATGTGGTGTACTCCTCAATGTTATCTGAAGAATCCCGGAACATGTTCCAGTCTGTGCTAGCAAAACAGTCCTGTAGCTTAGCATTCGCGTCATCTGACTTTTTTTATTAACCAAGTCACTGGTGCTTCCTGCTTTAGTTTTTGCTTATAAGCAGGAATCAGGAGGATAGAGTTATTGTCAGATTTGCCAAATGGAGGGCGAGGGAGAGCTTTGTATGCATCTCTGTGTGTGGAGTAAGGTGATCTAGAGTTTTTTTTTCCCTCTGGTTGCACATTTAACATGCTGGTAGAAATTAGGTAGAACGGATTTAAGTTTCCCTGCATTAAAGTCCCCGGCCACTAGGAGCGCTGCCTCTGGATGAGCGTTTTCCTGTTGACTTATGGCCTTATACAGCTCATTCAGTGCGATCTTAATGCCAGCATTGGTTTGTGGTGGTAAATAGACGGCTATGAAAAATATAGATGAAAACTCTCTTGGTAAATAGTGTGGTCTACAGCTTATCATAAGATACTCTACCTCAGGCGAGCAAAACCTAGAGACTTCCTTAGTATTTGATTTTGTGCACCAGCCGTTGTTTACAAATATACACAGACCGCCACCCCTTGTCTTACCGGAGTCAGCCGTTCTATCCTGCCGATGAGGCGTATAGCCCGCTAGCTGAATGTTATCCATGTCGTCGTTCAGCCACGACTCGGTGAAACATAAGATATTACAGTTTTTAATGTCCCGTTGGTAGGATAACCGTCATCTTAGGTCATCCAATTTATTTTCCAATGATTGAAGATTGGCTAATAGGATTGATGGGAGCGGCAGATTACTCGCTCGCCGTCGGATCCTTACAAGGCACCCCGACCTACGTCAACAATATCTCCGTCTCTTCCTCATGCGAATGACGGGGATTTGGGCCTTGTCGGGTGTCTGTAGGATATCCCAACCTAAGTGTAAACTTCCAACTTCAACTGTATATTGTTTATCAACCACGGCTACATTATGTACATGATATCTAACCACATTAGTTACATTATAGAATTCCATTATTAGAGTAAACATTCTGTCCAATTGAATAGTGAGGAGAAAGAGGTCATACTGTACCTTCACACTGGCCAGTCTTTAGATTTCTCCTAAAGCCAGATTTGCAATGACATATTGAACTTGTGTTTGTCTGATTGCAAATTGCATCCTCCCCACATGGGTTTGACTTCTTTCCACATACGTCTCCATGGGAAACTACAATTGAAGACAACACTTTGATTGCACATGAAAACACATTCCTAAACATTGTACAAAGACATGTTCCATTGATGTGTGGAAGCCAAGAGAACAACTTTCACCGGACAGAAAAACACACAGCAAATATGTTACTACCATAAATGTTCTGACATCATTTAACCCTTGGATCTAGCAGAAGAGCCCTAGATTATCTCACGCATCCAGTTCCTGCCTAGTGACATTTATTACTTCCATCTAAACAGCAGGATATTGATCAGTGTGACACACACACGCACAGGCCTTGCAGTCCTGCTCGTCCGAGCCCCCGTCCCCACAGTCATTGAAGAGGTCACACTGCAGTTGGGCTGGGATGCAGCGCTGGGTACTGCAGGTGAACTCTGCCTTCCCACACGGCCTGGGTCTGCCAGACACCACCTCTGCTTTGGGACGCACACAGGACACAAACACACGTCAGATAGAAAGACCGCATCGGCAACAGAGAAGGCATTTGCATAAAAGCATGGGTGGTGTTTTGAGATGCCTTTATAAAAATGCTGACAGTAGCCTAGATTTAAAGACTAATGTGGCTTTGAGTTTCTAGGGATATTAAAGGAACTTGACTAAGACACCGTTTCTGCTGTTGTCACACTGATACGATTAGGAATAAAGTTAGATTGGAATATACAACCTCCTTAGTTCAACATTCTTGATGAAGAAAAACGTAATGTTTGAACTGGTGTAAACTCACCACATTCCTCCTCATCCGAGTTATCCCCACAGTCATCCACCTTGTTACACACTTGGTCAGGGCGCAGACACACACGGTCATTTCTGCATCGGTGTGGCCGTGTGGAAGGACAAGGAAGTTTGGCTGGAGGGGAGAAGAAACACACAAGTATTCCAGACAGTCAAATACATTTTAGCTCATTCAACACAGTCCACTCTAATCCATTTAACAAATTATATTGTAGTCCATTCATCAGAGTTTATTCAACTCCTTCATAAAAGGACATTCATTTTCTTTAAGCAATTCACCAATGAATATCACCTTACATTAAATATGTAAGTAATAGCTAATAAAATATCCATCAAACACCTTTGAGAAAACATCTAAGTGAGAGACGTTGTTATTTCAACCCACCACACATCTCTGTGTCCTCATCTGAGTTGTCTCCACAGTCGTCCTTGCCATCACACACCCATGCGTGAAGCTTGCACAAGGTGTTGTTGCAAATGAACTCATCGGGACGGCAGAAGATGATGCCTGCAATTACAGACTGAAGGTGAGCAGCAGTGCCCGTGGGCTTTCTTTCTTTCACAAGGTCGTCTTTTCCATTTCCTTCAAAACGTCAATCAACAGCATTGTGCTAGAAGTATAGTGTCTGTATGAAAGAACGTTCTTGTTAGCAAAATGACCTTTGCTTGGCCAGAATAGGACTAGTGCTGTACACCTTTCACAACAAACACATGGCTAGAATGGTGGTTGCTACGCTACTAGCCATGTGAGTTCGAACCCCCCACTGATCGTGACATTCATTGCACTGTGAAAACTGCAATTGGCTGCAATTGAATCTAACTAGGCTGAGAAGGAAGAAAATATAATGTGTGTACCATATTGGCAGGCATGTGTTCTCTATTACAGTGTTCCAGTGAACATGCTCAACTCTGTCCACAGTTGCAATTTAATCTTTGTTACATTTCTTGTACAGGTAACATGTCCTACTAGAACTTACACTGGCTGCATACGTTTCAGCTTGTGCCTTCCTCACGGTGTGTGTGTGTGTGTTTTGTAATCCCTGTCCTACTGTCAGGGCGTGTGTAGGTGTGGTGTAGGAAATCAGATGCAGGACGCAGACGGTAGGTTCCAAAAGCTGTATTCCGACCCAAACACAGGCAACAGGGCAACAAAGCCCAACAGCTAAACTACGCCAAAGGCGTGTAGGCAAAATGCGCACAAAACAGGTGCGACAAAATATGTAGTGCACGAAACAAGTGCAAACGAGCTCCAGCGCAGTGGAGAGAAATATGCTCAACCGAGCAAACACTACACTGACGAAAACAATCACACACAACACAAGACAAACACAACGAGAAACTTATAGGATACTAATCACGTAAAACAGAAACAGGTGTGACACAAACAGACAAAAGCAAACGAACATGAAAACATAAATCGGTGGCAGCTAGAATTCCGGAGACGACGAACGCCGAAGCCTGCCCGAACAAGGGAGAGAGGCAGCCTCGGCCGAAACCGTGACAGTACCCCCCCCCTTGACGCGCGGCTCCAGACGCGCGCCGACTCCGGCCTTGGGGACGACCCGGAGGCCGCGGCGCAGGGCGCGTCGGATACCCCCGATGGAATTCCGTCAGGAGCGACGGGTCCAAGATGTCTCTCCTCGGCACCCAGCACCGCTCCTCCGGACCGTACCCCTCCCACTCCACTAGATACTGAAGACCCCCTCTCCGACGTCTAGAATCCAAGATGGATCTCACGGTGTACGCCGGTGCCCCCTCGATGTCCAACGGGGGCGGGGGGGTCTCCAAGATCTCATGTTCTTGGAGCGGGCCTGCTACCACCGGCCTGAGAAGGGACACATGGAACGAGGGGTTAATACATTTATACTCCACTGGCAACTGTAATCTATAACAAACCTCGTTCAACCTTCTCAGGACTTTAAATGGCCCTACAAACCGCCGACCCAGTTTCCGACAGGGCAGGCGGAGGGGCAGGTTTCTGGCAGAGAGCCAGACTCGATCTCCAGGTGCGTACACAGGCCCCTCACTGCGGTGTAGGTCGGCGCTCGTCTTCTGTCGACGTATGGCACGCTGCAGATGGACGTGTGCAGCGTTCCACGTCTCCTCCGAGCGCCGCACCCACTCATCCACAGCGGGGGCCTCGATCTGGCTCTCATGCCATGGTGCCAGAACCGGCTGGTACCCTAAAACACACTGAAAAGGGGTTAGTTGGGTGGAGGAGTGGCGAAGAGAGTTCTGTGCCATCTCAGCCCAGGGCACATATCTCGCCCACTCCTCCGGCCGGTCCCGGCAGTATGTTCTGAGAAACCTGCCCACATCCTGGTTTACGCGTTCCACCTGCCCATTACTCTCCGGGTGGTAACCCGAGGTGAGACTCACCGAGACCCCCAACCGCTCCATAAAAGCTCTCCAGACTCTGGAGGTGAATTGGGGACCCCGGTCAGCCACAATGTCCTCGGGCACCCCGTAGTGCCGGAACACATGAGTGAATAGTGCTTCGGCGGTTTGTAGGGCAGTAGGAAGACCCGGCATGGGGAGCAAACGACAGGCCTTAGAGAACCGATCCACAACGACCAGGAGTGTAGTATTCCCTTGAGAGAGGGGAAGGTCAGTTATAAAATCCACCGAGAGGTGGGACCATGGTCGTTGTGGAACGGGCAGGGGTAGTAACTTACCCCTAGGCAGATGTCTAGGCGCCTTACACTGGGCGCACACCGAGCAGGAGGAAACATAAACCCTCACATCCCTGGCCAACGTAGGCCACCAATATTTGGCACTAAGACAGTGCACTGTCCGGCCGATACCCGGATGTCCAGAGGAGGGTGACGTGTGAGCCCAATAGATCAATCGATCCCGACACTCGAGCGGAACATACTTCCGACCCTCCGGGCATTGTGGTGGACTAGGGTCGGTGCGTAATGCCCGCTCGAGCTCAGAATCGAGCTCCCACACCACCGGTGCCACTAGACACGACTCCGGCAGTATGGGAGTGGGCTCCACGGACCTCTCCTCCCCGTCATACCGCCGAGACAGTGCATCTGCCTTACCGTTTTGTGACCCAGGGATGTAGGTGATCTTAAAAGAGAAACGGGTCAAAAACATACTCCATCTAGCCTGTCGAGGGTTCAGCCTCCTCGCTGCCCGGATGTACTCCAGGTTACGGTGGTCCGTCAAAATGAGGAAAGGGTGTTGAGCCCCCTCAAGCCAGTGCCTCCACACCTTAAGGGCTTGGACCACAGCTAACAGCTCCCTGTCCCCTACGTCATAATTTCGCTCCGCCGGGCTGAGCTTCTTGGAATAGAAGGCAACGGGGCGGAGTTTAGGTGGCGCGCCTGACCGTTGGGACAGCACGGCGCCAATACCGGCTTCAGACGCGTCCACCTCTACCTGAAATGGTAAGGAGGGATCCGGATGCGCCAGCACCGGAGCCGAGGTGAACAGGTCCTTCAGCTTCTTAAAAGCCCTGTCCGCCTCGACTGACCACTGCAGACGCACCGGGCCCCCCTTTAAGAGAGACGTGATGGGAGCTGCCACCTGCCCAAAACCCCGGATAAACCTCCGGTAGTAATTCGCAAACCCCAAAAACTGCTGCACCTCTTTCACAGTGGTTGGTGTTTGCCAATTACTCACGGCTGACACTCGGTCTACCTCCATCTCCACCCCTGACGCAGACAACTGATACCCCAAGAAGGAAATCGACTCCTGGAAAAACAGACACTTCTCTGCCTTCACATACAGGTCGTGCTCCACCAGCCTCCGCAACACTCTGCGCACCAGGGCCACATGCTCGACACGGGTAGGTGAGTACACGAGGATGTCATCTATGTACACCACCACTCCCTGTCCCTGCATGTCCCTGAAGATCTCATCCACGAATGATTGGAACACTGACGGAGCATTCATCAACCCGTATGGCATGACGAGATACTCGTAATGGCCCGAGGTGGTACTAAAGGCTGTTTTCCATTCATCATCCTTCCTGATGCGCACCAAGTTGTACGCGCTCCTGAGATCTAATTTCGTGAAGAAACGCGCCCCATGCAACGACTCAGTCATGGTCGCAATCAGCGGGAGTGGATAACTATACTTCACCGTAATCTGATTGAGACCACGGTAGTCGATGCACGGACGCAACCCCCCATCCTTCTTCTTCACGAAAAAGAAACTCGAGGACGCGGGGGAAGTGGACGGCCGTATGTATCCTTGTCTCAGTGATTCGTCTATGTAAACCTCCATAGCTTTCTTCTCCTCCTGAGACAGAGGATACACATGACTCCGTGGGAGCGCAGCTCCTGCCTGAAGGTCTATCGCACAATCCCCCTGCCTATGGGGTGGCAATCGCGTCGCCCTCGCCTTACTAAACGCGATAGCCAGATCCCCATACTCAGGTGGAATGTGCAATGCGGGCACCTGGTTTGGACTTTCCACCGAGGTAGCCCCTAAGGAAACGCCCAAACATCTACCCACACACTGAGCAGACCACTCCTTCAGAGCCCTCTCTTGCCACGAAATAACGGGGTTATGGGTACTTAACCAGGGCATGCCCAGCACCACCGGATACGCAGGAGAGTCAATCAGAAACAGTTGTATTATCTCCTGATGACTCCCCTGCGCACACATCCTAAGTGGCGCCGTGACCTCCCTGATTAAGCCCGTACCCAACGGACGACTATCTAGGGCGTGAACGGGAAAAGGAACTTCCACAGGGAGAAGGGGAAACCCTAACTCTAAACAAAACTTCTTATCAATGAAATTCCCAGCCGCGCCTGAATCTACCAGCGCCTTACACTGGGAATGAGGTGCCACCTGCGGAAAACACACAGGCATACAAAAATGGGCAACAGTGAGCTCTGGGTGAGTGGGGCGCCTACTCACCTGGAGGGAATCCCCAGTGCGGGACCTGTCGTCATCTCCCCGAGGAGGCCATCCCCAGCACCTAGCCGCGGTGTGTCCTCCCCGACCACAGTTGGTGCAGTGGATGGACCCCCCACTCTGCCGACTCCTCCTACCTCTAGCGCCAGCGCCCCCGAGCTCCATAGGACACGGCTCGGGTGCGCTGGAGGATGGAATGGACGGACCCCCCTCAGGACGTCCGCGGGTAGCCAATAGGTTATCCAACCTAATTGACATGTCGACCAGCTGGTCGAAAGTGAGACTGGCGTCCCGACAGGCCAGCTCCCGACGGACGTCCTCTCTGAGGCTACATCGGTAGAGATCGATGAGGGCCCGATCATTCCACCCTGCATCTGCCGCTAGAGTACGGAATTCGAGTGCGAATTCCTGGGCACTCCTCCTCCCCTGCCTAAGGAAGACCAGACGCTCCCCCGCCGCTCTCCCCTCCGGGGGATGGTCGAACACCGCCCTAAAGCGGCGGGAGAACTCGGTGTAGGTGATGGTCGTGGCGTCGATCTTCCTCCACTCTGCGTTGGCCCACTCCAACGCTTTACCGGCCAGGCAGGAGATTAGGGCGGACACGCTCTCATGCCCTGAAGGTGCCGGATGGACTGTGGCCAGGTACAGCTCGACCTGGAGCAAGAACCCCTGACACCCAGCCGCTGTCCCGTCGTAAGCCCTCGGGAGAGATAGACGGACTCCTCGATGTTCCGGTGCTGGAACGGGCGGGCTGACCGATGGTGCTGGCTGGGCGGGCGGTGGTGGAGGCGAACCCCAGCCTCGGAGTGTGGAAATAACCTCCTGCAGGGCGTTCCCCATCTGCAGGAGTTGCTCCTGCTGATCCCGAACCTGGGCTTCCAGTCTTGTCTGGGCTGCTTCTGCTCCTGCTGATTCCATGGGTGGTGTGTGATTCTGTCAGGGCGTGTGTAGGTGTGGTGTAGGAAATCAGATGCAGGACGCAGACGGTAGGTTCCAAAAGCTGTATTCCGACCCAAACACAGGCAACAGGGCAACAAAGCCCAACAGCTAAACTACGCCAAAGGCGTGTAGGCAAAATGCGCACAAAACAGGTGCGACAAAATATGTAGTGCACGAAACAAGTGCAAACGAGCTCCAGCGCAGTGGAGAGAAATATGCTCAACCGAGCAAACACTACACTGACGAAAACAATCACACACAACACAAGACAAACACAACGAGAAACTTATAGGATACTAATCACGTAAAACAGAAACAGGTGTGACACAAACAGACAAAAGCAAACGAACATGAAAACATAAATCGGTGGCAGCTAGAATTCCGGAGACGACGAACGCCGAAGCCTGCCCGAACAAGGGAGAGAGGCAGCCTCGGCCGAAACCGTGACACCTACCCTGGCTGCAGTTACAGTTTTCTAGCACATTGGCATGTGAAGTGAGTATGTCCAGCCCTGTCGTACCTTGACTGCAGTTCTCCTCGTCACTATGGTCCACACAGTCAAACATGTCGTCACAGCGCCATCTCCGTGGGATACAGTGGGCGTGGTTCAGACACAGGAACTCGTCTTCCTTGCACTCCTTCACACAGCCCACCTGTCAACATGGAAACACAAAACAGCATCATACAGTATTCGATGTCAAAACACAGTCAAGACTTTACTCACATCCTTGTCTATACTGTTAGGAATTCACCTCACACAGGACACCAAATTATGTAGGGACCATCCTTACAAATGTGACGCGTTTCAGAAAACTAGGCGTATGTCACGGGTCACTACTTCACAGGAGAGCCATTTGAACGTAAATGTTTTTAAAAAAACATGTGAACTTTCATGTGCCTTAATAAAAAACGTCTATGCTATCTGTAAATACGAATAAAATGGTTAAATTACGAGCCTAGTTGGTTTAGCCAAAGAAAAAGACAGCAACCTTCCCGCTAGCCATGATTGGCTGAGATAATAAGTGGGCTGGACAATAAAAATAGTAAAGTAAAGTACATATACCAAAAAAAAACTACTTAAGTAGTACTTGAAAGTATTTTTACTTAAGTACTTTAGACCACTGTATATGGGTAAGATAGTCTAGCTAGCTACATTTTCAGATATTACACGTTCCTAATTTTGACAGAAAGAGCCATTTGCTTGGCTAGCTGGTTGGTTAGCTACCTGCAGATTCATGCAGGGTAGTAAAGTCATGAGTTGTGATTATGGTTCATTGTTGACCTAGCTACGTCTTAACAAAATACTCCACTATGCAAATAACCATTTCGGGTGCGTTCATAAATTCAGTCTGTTAGCTTGGGTGCTTGACTGCCGTTGTGAGGTCAGAACGTTCGGATCAACCCTACTCATCGGCCAGAGTGTCTGGTGTGCGCTCTGAACGCTCCGAGAGCGACACGTTTTGAATTTACAAATGGACAATCTGACAGCACAGTTGCAGTCACCAATGCTCTGGATAACATAACAGCCTAACCAGCTCTGCTAGGGCGAGTAATGTTCAGTGAGCTGTTCTGTCATTTGTATCTGGAAGTAGCTAGCAAGATAGCTTGGGTGCTTGACTTCTGTTGTCAGGACAGAACGCTCGGATCAACCCTTAAAGAGATGGGTGGGGCTGAAGCTTAAGAGGGTGTGAATGATGCTGATTGGGTGTAGACGAAGAAGGGCTCTCCAGTAGTAGTACCAAAATATTCAAAGGCCATTTTCTCAAAAATGAGTTTACAAGTTTATCAACTTTCAAATCTAAATTACTTTCCCATTGTTCCTCAACTGTAGTGTATGATATACCATTTTGTAGCTCTGAGTCTCTACTTTTATCCAATGTAATAAACACACTTTCAAATTTTGCTACATAATACCGATTTGAGCCGGTCGGTCACAAATAGGACAATCCCTACAGAAATGCTGCATACCGTGGGTGGAAACCACCTACAACACTAGACAAAATAATGCAATGCAGTCATTTTTATCTCAATATCAACTAATTTGTGGTTAACAATTAAGTACATTACTGTGATTTTTTTCAATTAAAATGGTCAAAAAGAAACAAAAATGTATTCTTAGAAAAGGGCAATTTCTCAAGCAAGAATTTTGCTAGGACTGTCTGGAAGTGGTCTGAGCTCTTTTTGGCAGATAAGTTTTGAACTCTCTTTCTTATTGGTCTATTAACTAATTTCCTGCCTGATGTCGTCACCAGTCAGGCCAGCACTCCATCCCACTAAAACAGGCTGAAATTTCAGGCGGCCTTTTCAAACTGCTCTTACACAATTTTCACAGTATTATTCCAACCTCATAGTGTGGAAATATATATAAAACACAAGAAAAATCACTTTTTGACTGCACTGGACATTACTTACTGTGACTTTTTCTGTAAATAAACAAAAAAAGGTGCAGTAAGCAAGTATAGATTGATTGCTATAGATGAGTACCAAGCAAAGCCACACCCACCTCATCTGACCCGTCCAGACAGTTGTCCTGTCCATCACATCTCAGACTGGCCAAGACACAGCCTCCACTGGCACACACATACTCATTTAGGGAGCAGGAGGGGAGCACTGGAAACACAAAGATCAGAGACAGAGCTTTATGAGTGCACACACTCCACCAAATAATAATATAACAGCCATCATTCACAGCATGAGTGGGGCAGGTTTGTACGTGTTCTGTACACTTATGAACTCATAAAGAAGGTTGCACGCTCCATGTTAGCCTAGTGTATGCGATAAAAAAAAACACTATAACCCATTATTTATTTCCAAACCAGCAGTGCTGGACATTGGACAGATACTAGGTCTAAATATGATGTCTTCCCTCAAGCTATGGCATGCTGTGTGCTGCCTGCTGTTGAATGAAGTGGTCTGAAACACACCCACACAATCATCACCACCGGGGCTCCGGATGAGGTTACACTGGCTAGCTACTGTACTGTAGTGGCTGCACTTCAGTAGAATACAAGGCATTTTCTGATAGAATGGGAATGAGCCAATATCAACCCACTTACTGTGGGTAAAACACATGGCGTACTGATGCAGTAGCTATTTATTAATTGGTTACAGAATTGGAACAGTATTTAATTACATGTCACATAGAAAGTAGTCTTGGCATTTCTCCTGCTTGTACCTATCGTAAGGGGTAAAGCACCCCCCTCCACACCAACATTTCCTGATCTTACACTAAACCCCATTAAAAAGTCCCCCCCAAAAAAACTTTGTCCTGCATTTTAACCAAAGAATAAAAACTACAACACTCCATGTTACCACAGGAGCTCTGCAGTGGTTTTCAGCTTTTAAACAACTACTTCAATTTCACATTAAAAATGTTTTGGGGAAACGTTCCCTTCTGAACTTCTCTCGTCTTTCTCGTATACTGTACCTGTTCCCTGGCAGTTCCTCTCATCCTCTCCTGTCTTGCAGTCCTCTTGGCCGTCACAGAGCCACTTGAGGGAGATGCAGAGGTTATTGAGACACTGGAACTGGTCCTCAGCACACCGAGCCTCACAGCCCTTCTGTAGAGAGATATACAGAACAAGAAGCTCAAATTTACGATAGGCTCAGACTTGACACCATAGATGTTCTTATTCTTATACAGTAGGAACATCAGGTAATACTTTATTTGAAGTGTACTTACATAAGGACTTCATAGCTCATACATAACACATTAATAGACAATGTTAACTCTTTACAGTGAGTGTTCATTGCCAGTTTAGTAGGTTATTGGTAAGAATTGTGTGTGGGGGGGAAGAAAAGTAGTTGTTTACAAGAGAAACCATGCATCGCTGACAAATGTTTACATACTCTGTGAACTAAATATACAGTTTGACCTAAAAAGACAATTGGGACCACACACACAATAATGGATTAACAGAGGTTGCACAGAGGGGATTATTCATATTATATACTGTAATTGGTGTGGGGGTATTTAACAGAGCAATAAATTACAAGGCATAATAAATGGGTAATTCCGTGCCTTTCTCCTTGAATTAGCCATTGCACAATGGAGATTTGAATATTTTCTAACGATAGTCTCATTTTTCATGAATAGCTCACACTTTCAAATAAATTCACATTCCACAAAACAGGTCCACAATTCCCATGCAAGGCTAGTTAATGCAGTATTTTGAGTTAGTGAACCAGTTTGCATAATTATTTACACATTTGCATAAGAACAGAAACATCAAATGTCTCTCTATTAGGACAACGTCAGCCTTAGTAGGTTATTCTCTCATGCGTTCCAATAAAAATTAAAATATTTAACGATTTGAATTTCATAATGCTATTAAATCAAGCCCGTTGTTGCATTTGCAATTCAATAATCATGCCTTTTAGAAAAAACTAAAACACATTGATGTTTATCCCTCAAAAATAAAGAAATAAGCATAGTGTTAATAAGGGTCATTTCACTCAAATCAGATTATTCAAGAGTGGACAGACACAAGGTTGTGATTCACACAGTTTACAGGCTATAACATGCTATTTAAAGCCTGCTGTTAAATGACAACAGGGATCACTGACCTCGTCTGAATTATCAGGGCAATCATAGTCTCCATCGCAACGGAATCGGGCGGAGATGCAGTCCCCGTTAGCACAGGCAAAGTCCTTGTGGTTACAGGTCAATGGCTCTGAGTCAAGGGGAGAACAAGGACATCACCACACTTGAAATAGAAATGAAGTAGGAGCCGGCCCCTCAAACATTATACGCTCCACCACATACCAATAATTTGAATTGTTAAAACAATGTTACCCGGATCTTCATCATTTCCTACAAGGCTCTAGCATTCCCTAGCAAGTGATGTCTATTATAGACTATTTACAGTTATAGACTAGGCTATATACACTTGAAATAGTCCTGAAAAAGCAACCAACCTCTAAGAAAACACACACACAGGCCTTTATAAGAGGTGTCGTAAGAGAAGGGAATCCCCTAGACCCCATTTACAGGAGATATCTCTTTAGCATTGCATGCTAATCATCTGGCAGTAGACTGTATTTATATTTATTAGGGATCCCCATTAGCTGCTGCCAAGGCAGCTACTCTTCCTGGTGTCCAAACATATTAAAGCACTTACATTACATATAAAACAAAATATAAAAACAGTACATCATATGACATTATTACACCACTACATATTTACAATACAAAATGTTTAATACCACCATACAACAATATCACAGTCCCCATAAGGTGTATTTTTTACCTGTTAAAAAAAAAATCTGATTCTACTGCTTTCATCAGTTACCTGATGTGGAATAGAGTTCCATGTAGTCATGGCTCTATGTAGTACTGTGCGCCTCCCATAGTCTGTTCTGGACTTGGGGACTGTGAGGAGACCTCTGGTGGCATGTCTTGTGGGGTATGCCTTGTTGATAGTGTTGTTAAGAAGGCAGAGCAGCGCTTTATTATGGACAGACTTCTCCCCATCTTAGCTACTATTGTATCAATGTGTTTTGACCATGACAGTTTACAATCTAAGGTTACTCCAAGCAGTTTAGTCACCTCAACTTTCTAAATTTCCACATTATTCATTACGAGTAGTAGTTGAGGTTTAGTGAATGATTTGTCCCAAATACAATGCTTTTAGTTTTGGAAATATTTAGGACTAACTTATTCCTTGCTACCCATTCTGAAACTAACTGCAGCTCCTTGTTAAGTGTTGCAGTCATTTCAGTTGCTGTAGTAGCTGACGTGTATAGTGTTGAGTCATCCGCATACATAGACACACTGGCTTTACTCAAAGCCAGTGGCATGTCATTAGTAAAGATTGAAAAAAGTAAGGGGCCTAAACAGTTACCCTGGGCAATTCCTGATTCTACCTGGATTATGTTTGAGAGGCTTCTATTAAAAGAACACCCTCTGTGTTCTGTTAGACAAGTAACTCTTTATCCACATTATAGCAAGGTGTGTAAAGCCATAACACATACGTTTTTCCAGCAGCAGACTATGATTGATAATTTCAAAAGCTGCACTGAAGTCTAACAAGACAGCCCCCACAATCATTGTATCAATTTCTCTCAGCCAATCAGTCATTTGTGTAAGTGCTGTGCTTGTTGAGGGTCCTTCCCAACAAGCGTGCTGAAAGTCTGTTGTCAATTTGTTTACTGTGAAATAGCATTGTATCTGGTCAAACACAATTATTTCCAGAAGTTTACTAAGGGTTGGTAACAGGCTGATTTGTGTGCTATTTGAGTCAGTAAAGGGGGCTTTACTATTCTTGTGTAGCGGAATGACTTTAGCTTCCCTCCAGGCCTGATGGCACACACTTTCTAGTAGGCTTAAATTGAAGATGTGGCAAATAGGAGTGGCAATATTGTCCACTATTATCCTCAGTAATTTTCCATCCAGATTGTCAGACCCCGGTGGCTTGTCATTGTTGATAGACAATCATTTTTTCACCTCTTCCACACTTACTTTATGGAATTCAAAAGTACAATTCTTGTCTTCCATAATTTGGTCAGATATACTTGGATGTGTAGTGTTTTATTTTTTTATTTAACATTTATTTAACCAGGTAAGCCAGTTAAGAACAAGTTCTCATTTACAACTGCTACCTGGCCAAGATAAAGCAAAGCAGTGCGGAAAAAACAACAGAGTTACATATGGAATAAACAAAACGTACAGTCAATAACACAATAGAAAATCTATATACAGTGTGTGCAAATGTAAGTTATGGAGGTAAGGCAATAAATAGGCCATAGTGCAAAATAATTACAATTATAATTTAGTATTAACACTGGAGTGATAGATGTGCAGAAGATGATGTGCAAATAGAGATACTGGTGTGCAAATTAGCAAAATAAATAACAATGTAAATAACAATATGGGGATGAGGTAGTTGGGTGGGCTAATTACAGATGGGCTGTGTACAGGTGCAGTGATCGGTAAGCTGCTCTGACAACTGATGCTTAAAGATAGTGAGGGAGATAAGTGTCTCCAGCTTCAGAGATTTTTGCAGTTCGTTCCAGTCATTTGCAGCAGAGAACTGGAAGGAATGGCGACCAAAGGAGGTGTTGGCTTTGGGGATGACCAGTGAGATATACACAGTATACACATTGTCAGTGTTTGTTGCTGGCATGTCATACCTAAGTTTGCTTATCTTGCCAATGAAAAAGTCATTCAAGTAGTTGGCAATATCAGTGGGGTTTGTGAGGAATGAGCTATCTGATTCAATGAACGATGGAGCCGAGTTTGCCTTTTTTCCCAAAATGTCATTTAAGATGCTCCAAAGCTTTTCACCGTCATTCTTTGTCATTTATCTTCGTTTCATAGTGTAGTTTCTTCTTTTTATTTAGTCACGATTTCTTAATTTGCAGTACATTTGCCAATCAGTTGGGCTGTCAGACTTATTTGCCATACCTTTTGCCTCATTCCCTCAACCATACAATTTTTCAATTCCTGATCAATCCAAGGGGATTTAACAGTTTTTACAGTCATTTTCTTAATGGGTGCGTGCTTCCTAGTAACTGGAATAAGCAATTTCATAAATGTGTCAAGTGCAGTGTCTGGTTGCTCCTCATTACACACCACAGACCAGCAAATATTATTTACATCATCAACATATGAATCACTACAAAACTTATTGTATGACCGCTTATACACTATATTAGGCCCAGTCTTTGGAACTTTGGTTTTCCTAGATATGACTACTATATTGTGATCACTTCATCCTATGGATTTGGATACTGCTTTAACCCTCCCGTTGTCCTGTCCGGGTCAAAAAGACCCAGGCTACGTGTTAGAGTGAGTGGCTGTATATCTCCTCCCGCTGTCCTTTCCGGGGTCAAAAAGACCCAGGCTACGTGTTAGAGCCTAGGTGTTAGAGCGAGTGGCTGTATATCTCCTCCCGCTGTCCTGTCTTGTCCTTTCTTGTCCGGGGTCAAAACGACCCAGGCTACGTGTCAGTGCCTATGTGTTAGAGCGATTGGCTGTATATCTCCTCCCGCTGTCCTGTCCGGGTCAAAAAAGACCCAGGCTACGTGTCAGTGCCTATGTGTTAGAGCGAGTGGCTGTATGACCCCTAGCGTTGTCCTCTCCTGTCCTGGCTGGGGTCAAAACGACCCAGGCTACGTGTTAGAGTGTTAGAGCGAGTGTGTGCTGTGAACGGGACCCTTGCAAATCAAATCAAATCAACTTTTATTGGTCACATTGAGGGTACAGACATTACAGTGAAATGCTTACTTTCTAAAGAATCTGGTGATTTCCTTGTAATATTGTAGGTGTGTGTCACTACTCGACGACAATGCTGGAAACCCAAGATGTCCATTTCCTCAACAAGTGAATATATGTCATCTGGTCTTCGGCTTGCTGACAATTGTACATCTCCGCACGTGTTTCATTCTGACAGTCTGTCAACTTGTATACTTGCGGTACAATATTTTGGGTTTTCGTGAAATCACAAGGTATGCGTAGGCTCGAACGGATCCCCATCATGGCGTGTTGTTTGGGGGTAACAGAAAAGCCTTGAAATATCCAGGCGACTTTCTTCATCAGAAGTGTCTGTTCCTCATCTGAGAGATCTGTCATGTGGACACCGCTACACACGGAAGAGATATCGCATGGCATTTGCCGATATGTCCGATATGTCAACAAATGGTCTCGGACGTGGCTGTGACGAACGTCCATGTCCCACATGTCGTGTCCCACAAAGCACAAGTACAAGACTCGCTGTCGTCGAAACCGGTCAACATTGCACAGGGACACCATCCCACAGCTTCACGGTGTATCTTCTGCAAATGGTCCCGGTGTGTCACCATGATGTGTGACACTGCACCGTGGTAAAACCACAAGAGCAGAGCCTGTCCTACGACCCGAACGAGCCACAGCTCATAACTCAACAGACTATATTTGGGATCGACAAATAGTCTTACCTCCAGTTTGTTGTTGGGCATGACCGAGAGGCTTTTCACCGTGTACCCGAGAAGTATGGGTATGTTCTTCACTACTCGATTGAACGCAGAATAGATGTCGTTGAAGTTGATGGTGCTCAGATTCAGTCGAGTCGACCCTCCGATGCCGAGACCGATCACGGTGCCGACGACGGTGGTGTTGTCGGTAGTAGTTACGTGACTGGAGTCCGACTTGTGTATGTCAAACACTGCAGTGATGCAGCAAGAATCCCCCTTCACGTTTTCTGTGTTCTGGAAAGTCGACATAGCTTCGATGGATGTTGTTTGTCTGTGAGACACGAACCTGTTTCGATGCAGTAGTGCTCAGACGCTTCTCTGGTTGTGATTAGTATTAAAACATGACATTTTGTAATAGTAGTTGTTATTTGTTGTAAACATAGATCATGGTTTCATGGCTACATACAAGCAATCGTGGTGTCTACGTAGACAGACATCAAGTTATTCGATTCAAAAACCTATTCTGTGCTGCCCATGTTCTATTCCTTCGACACACATCGTCGCTATTCTGACATGTCGGCAATCATGAGTTTGCGTTCCACGCCATTCCTTGAGTGCGATACAGCTAGTCCAGAAAGTGTCTCTGTGGGTTTGGGAGAAAATAACCCTCCCGTTGTCCTGTCCGGGTCAAAAAAAAAAAAAGACCCAGGCTACGTGTTAGAGTGAGTGGCTGTATAACCCCTAGCGTTGTCCAGTCCTGTCCTGTCCCGGCTGGGGTCAAAAGGACCCAGGCTACGTGTCAGTGCCTATGTGTTAGAGCTAGTGGCTGTATATCTCCTCCCGCTGTCCTGTCCTGTCCTGTCCGGGTCAAAAGGACCCAGGCTACGTGTTAGAGCCTAGGTGTTAGAGCTAGTGGCTGTATATCTCCTCCCGCTGTCGTGACCGGGTCAAAAAGACCCAGGCTACGTGTTAGAGTGTTAGAGCGAGTTGCTGTATAACCCCTAGCGTTGTCCTGTCCTGTCCTGTCCGGGTCAAAAGGACACAGGCTACGTGTCAGTGCCTATGTGTTCGAGCTAGTGGCTGTATATCCCCTCCTGCTGTCGTGACCGGGTCAAAAAGACCCAGGCTACGTGTCAGTGCCTATGTGTTTGAGCTAGTGGCTGTATAACCCCTAGCGTTGTCCTGTCCTGTCCTGTCCGGGTCAAAAGGACCCAGGCTACGTGTCAGAGCCTAGGTGTTAGAGCGAGTGGCTGTATATCTCCTCCCGCTGTCCTGTCCGGGTCAAAAATACCCAGGCTACGTGTTAGAGTGTTAGAGCGAGTTGCTGTATAACCCCTAGCGTTGTCCTGTCCTGTCCTGGCTGGGGTCAAACGGACCCAGGCTACACGTTAGAGGCATAAGCTCTGAGCCAGAGGTACTAGGTAAGCCGTAAACAAACACCAACACCAAGAACAAGTACTACTACTACTACTACTACTACTACTACTACTACTAATATTGCCTCCGTGGCATGTCCGGACACGTGCCGAAGAGAGAGGTCTTGGGGACTTCCCCAGCCTGGGTGCAGAAGCTATTATGAGTGCTGTGCGTTTCACGGCCAAACAGGTCCTAGAACATATATTTTCCAATGACTCTGACTGCGACGAGGAAGCGGACGAGGAAGCGTCCGAAGAAGAAGACGGGGAGGAATACAACCCAGAGGACGAGGAGACCACAGAGGACGACGACGACGACTACGACGCCGCTGCCGCCGCAGCCGCCGCCGCCGACGATGTCCAAGTAGAAGAAGGTCAAGGCGTAGAAGACGAACGAGACGATGACGACGACGACCAACAAGAAGAAGAAGAACAAGGGGAAGGTGAAGGTGAAGGAGAGCGAGGACACCTCCGCCGCTGCCGCCGCCGCAGCATCAGCCCCAGAACACAACACGATATCCCTCGAGTGGAAAGAGAGACATTCGTGTCGAGAAACGGCCAAATCCAATGGTGCTCGGTGCCCTGTGACAACAATCGGGGCGTCGGAGGGGCAGCCGCAGCGGCAAAAAGTAACAGGCCGGTTGCTGAGGTGCCGGAGGACATGAGGCCCGGGCCTACTAGGCAGGCCGTAGGCCAAGCCCGCGACATCCTCTCCATATTCCGCTTGTTTTTCACACCCGAGATAGAAGACATCATCCTGGAGATGACCAATCTGGAGGGCGTTCGAAAATACGGAGCCCGAGGCGACGGCGACGACGACCACCGCCACTACGCCGACGACCACGAAGACCGCGACCGCTGGAAAGCGATGGACTCCACAGACCTGCGAGCCTACGTAGGGCTGCTCATCCTAGCCGGCGTGTACAGGTCCCGAGGCGAAGCGGCCTCTAGTCTCTGGGACGCCGAGAGCGGAAGGACCATTTTCCGCGCAACCATGCCGCTCAAAGTCTTTCACGCTTACTCGAGACTCCTTCGCTTCGACGACCGCCAGACCAGAGCCGAAGCAAGCCGGCCAAATACGGCATCAAGACATGGGTGGCCTGCGACTCCAAATCCAGCTACGCCTGGAAGATGCAGGTCTACACCTGGCAAGGCCACATGCGGAGGCCCCGAGAAGAACCAGGGGATGAGGGTCGTGCTCGATTTGACGCAGGGACTCAGGGGTCACAACGTCACCTGCGACAATTTCTTCACCTCATACGAGCTCGCGCGCCAGCTCCTGACCAGGAACGTCACCGTGGTCGGCACAGTCAGAAAGAACAAGCCAGAGCTCCCGCAGGCGCTGCTCGCCTCAAAGGACAGGCTCCTCTTCTCCTCCAAGTTCGCCTTCACGCCCACCACCGCTCTAGTGTCCTACCTGCCAAAGAAAAACAAGAATGTCTTACTCCTGAGCACGCTGCACACCGAGGCTCACGTTAGCCGTCGCCAGGACAAGAAGCCGGCCATCGTCCTAGACTACAACAGCAACAAGGGAGGTGTGGACAACCTAGACAAGGTGATTGGAACCTACAGCTGCAGGAGGATGACCGCGCGTCCTTGACGTGTCCTCTTACAACGCTTTTGTCATATGGCGAGAGCTCAACCCCACTTGGATGCCTGGTAAGCGAAACAAGAGGAGGGTGTTCCTCGAGCAGCTGGGAAAGGCACTAGTGACTCCGTTCATACAAAGAAGGGCTCGTCTCCCTCGCACCGAAGCCTCTGCGGCGCTCGTCAAAGCTGTTCAGAGGGCTACGTATCGTGATCAGCCCCGGCGGGATCACGCCCCCGCAGCACCGGACCACGCACCGGCCCAAGCACCCAACCCCGCACAACCCAGTAAGAGGTGTCAGGTCTGCCCCACAAAGAAGGACTGTAAAACACACACGGTGTGCACCAGGTGTAACAAATACATCTGCAAAGGCTGTTCGCACCCATACTGTCCCACATGTTCCAATTGGGCCTTTAGTGAGAGGGGGACAGTTCGACCCGGAGGGCACGGCGTGTGTACAGAATACCAGGACAACGGGAGGGTTAAAGCAAATTTCTGCAGCATTAGTAAAGATGTGATCAATACATTATTTCATTCCTGTGTTGTTTGTAAATACCCTGGTAGGTTGACTGACAACCTGAACCAGGTTGCATGCACTGGTAACAGTTTGACGTTTTTTCTTGAGAGGGCAGCTTGATGAGAGCTAGTCAATATTAAAAAATCACCCAGAAAATATACTTCTCTGTTGATTTCACATACATTATCAAGCATTTCACACATATTATCCAGATACTGACTGTTAGCGCTTGGTCTATAGCCGCTTCCCACAAGAATGGGCTTTAGGTGAGGCAGATGAACCTGTAGCCATATTATTTAACCATTATTTAACATGAGATTGTCTCTAATCTTTACAGGAATGTGGTTCTGAATATAGACCGCAACACCGCCCCCGTTGGCATTTGTCTTTTCGGTAGATGTTATAACCATGTATTGATACCACTGTATCATCAAAGGAAGTGAGTTTCAGAGATAGTCAATATGAATGTAATCTGTTACAAGCAAGTTATTGACTTCATGGACCTTGTTTCTCCGGCTGCATATGTTAATATGGGCTATTTTTAGCACTTTTCTGGGTTGCTTGATTGTTTTTATTCCTTTACTGGAAAGCTGATCAGAAATAGACTTGCTCATGTTATTTATATTGGAGCTGATAGTGCAGGGTGCCCTGCACACAGTGGTCTTCCTACTAGGGCACACCGCCTCAGTGCTAACAGTGTAACTCTAGTTCATAGGCTCATGATTACTGCATACAATAGCTGTAGGATCAACAGAGGCAATTAGGGGGACATAAATTAAGATACTTACATTGTGTCTGCCAACGCCCCTAGGATAATGTACATTTGATGCAGCATTATGACGACTCATTGTCACAATGGTAGGGATTAACTGAGCTGGTCTTGGGTCATTGATAAATCATTGTTTCAACGCAGCCTTGAAACACGTGGACAGGAGCCAAGATGATTTGGATGGACTCAGTCATTCCTGTAGAGTATCTTCAGTTTCCAGAAGGTGTCAAAGTTATCTATAAAAGTGATTCCAGCAGAGCTACAGTAATCTTTTAGCCAGTTGTGTAATGCCAGTATCCTGCTGAATCTTTCACACCCACGGCCCAACGATGGTACTGGACCTGAAATGATTGGCTGTTTTTTTTCTTTTAATGTTAAAATCAGTTCTTTAAAATCCATTTTTCAGATGTTCTGAGCTAGCCCTCCTGATGTCGTTTGACCCCACATGTACTACGACAGCGTCAGCTCCCAGCATCTGTCGTAGAACAGTCAGAAGCAGCCTTGTGATGTCCTGTACTGGCTTGTCGGAGATGTTTGTTGGACTTGATAGTTGGCATGCCAGTGGCTTTCAAGATGTTAATACATTTATAGCTATAGTGACAGCTTAGGGGGACAGTATACTCCTGAGCCCTACTACCTGGCAACCTCCACTCTGCACATTAAGGTACACTGTATGTCTAGGTCTCTGAGGACAACATTATGCCATATTTAAGCATCATCAAATTCCAGTGCTGAGGTCCTCCCCTCATCCCCTTGTTATCATGGACTGTTAACTGACTGTAGGGAGTGAAGGTAGTTGTGTTTATGAGCTGATCTGTTATCATGGACTGTTAACGGACTATAGGGAGTGTTATGAGCTGCAGTTAGAGGAAAGGTCCCAGCAGAGCCTGCAGTAGATTGTGATTCGCAGCCTCTCTCTGCTAGCCTAGCTGGCGCACCTGCTTAATTCTTTACCATCCAACACTTGACTGGACTTTATTTGCATTTTAAGTGACATCAATAGGTAAGGGGAATAAGCAT